ACATACGCAAAACAACTCTTGTATCAATAAGTAATTTATTTTTCTCTTGCTTCTTTAACTTCCTTTAGGGAAAAGGCTTATTACAGAATCAGGTCTAAGAAATTAGAATTTCTTCCGTCTGTTTTCTATAATATGCAATGGTGATTGTTTTGGTCAAGCTTCAATTTTTATCATAGGAGAAGCGGTCTCGTGATCTCCTTAGAAATTAAGAAGTGATACATTCTACGGGAACATCAACCAAATCCACATAGCCAGCAGCAAAAATAGGCGTCAATAATGTTAATTACAAAGACAAGGAACAGCTAATAATTCCATCTAATTGAATTTGCAGCTCACTGTTTGCAATTTATGAGAGGTAGACAAGTCGAAATAATTGAAATTGGATACCATAATTGCAATTATGAAAGCAAATAATGAGAAATCATACGAGGGGGGCCCCTGTGATGATAATGTAAGTTAATAGATGGCTTAAAGTACACACGCGCAGATGCCAATATGCCATACACGAGGAGTGGTTGGGTCTGGCTAGCATCATGCAAATATCACCAACTTTATTTTCTACCTTGTGTCATATATATATAAAAAAAGGATACATTTAGAAAAACGACCGAAGGGTTAGAAAATGACCTATTACTGGACATGTATTTGTCAAGTTTTTTGCGTTATTTTATGCTAAAGCATTAATAGGCTTCGTTATACTGATAAAAAGCAGAGAGAATTGTGGGATTTAATTTTCTATCCATGGTTTTTTCATAATACAAATTCTGTGAACAAAGAAATAATGCTGAAAGGACAGGTCATTGATCATAGAGACAAAGCAACAATATGAACGCAATAAATAAAAGAAAAGGTTCGTGTGTCCGTGTGTGTGTGTTTATCTTACCCACCGTTTTATATAATAATGATTGAATAATCGAATTATATATGTAATATTTTTTTGCCATCATTTATATATAATAATTGAATATAATGTCATATCGTGTATTTATTCTTTTAGGATTTTTTTCCATAAAGTTTTTTCCCCCTTTCTGGCCAAAACATTCCTATCGAAGTGCTAACATTTTGTCACCGAGTCTTTGAATATGCACGTTTCACATCTTTTTTTCTGTTTTATGTAACCTCAAGCCTAGCTCCTGTCCTTGTCCTATTTATTACAAAAAAAAAAAAAAGATAGGTAGAAAACTCCGGTAGTGATGCATTTCAATAATGTCACTCTAACCTATTTACCAAATCAAAAAATGCATTAATTTGATCATTTTTCCCCATGTGCCCTTATTAAAGAAATAATATTAAAATTGTGTTTATGTTTTTTATCTATTTATTTTATCTTTTCATGTACTTATTAAATCAACAGAAAACTTATTAATTACCTTACGAGTGACTTATGTTTAGGAATAAAGTTTTTTTCTACAAATATAAATAAGAATAGAGTGGTATAATACTGTATTATATTATTCTGTTCCACTTGCCCCCCAAACGCACAAATCCAAAAATGCGTTAAATTAATAATCTTTTTCACTTGCACTTATTAAAGAAATGGGTATTAAAAATAAATTTTATATTTTCCACCTCTTTACTTCATCTCTCTTTGTATTTATTAAGTCAATAAAGTTAAAATTAAAGAAGCACATTAATTATTTTATGAGTGACTTATGTTTAGAAATAAGTTTTTTTTAGTACAAATTATTTATAAATAAGCGAAAATTTCATTTAAGGACCGCAGAAGGGAATTTACATCAGTCAACTCCCAAAACATTTTGAAATATCACTGCAGGATCATGGGACCAAACTGAAATTAAAACTAATAGTAAGATTACAATAATACCCCTCACTTTTATTTTTTTAAAAAATAAATATTAATGGACGTAACTGTTCCGGCTCACCAAAAGTGATGTAACCACCAAGCCAAGCAAGCCATTCAATCATGTAATGCAAATAAAAATATGTATAACAAAACAAATATAATTGTCCAAGTATAAATGAACAAGTGAAATTAAACAATTTACAAGTGAAATTCAGTAATTTACAACAAAAATTAGGCAATTTACAAATAACATAATAAAATTCACAATCCCAAATGCAAGTGTTTAAGTGTAAATGAGCAAGTGAAATTTAAAGATTTACAACCCAAATTTGGCTATTCACAAAAAATACAAGAGAATTGACAACCCATAATATAAGTGTTTGAGTGTAAATGAACAATTAAAATTAGACAATTTACAAGTGAAATTCAGCAATTTACAAATAACATAATAAAATTCACTTGGAAATTAGGCAATGTATGTGACGTAAATTGCTGAATTTCACTTGTAAATTACTTGAGCGCCGGCAGTCGGACCTCCGGTGGCCGTTACTGCAGCTCCGGTAACCGGAACAGTCACGTCCATTAATATTTATTTTTTTAAAAAAATAAAAGTGAGGGGTATTATTGTAATTTTACTCTTAGTTTAATTTCAGTTTGGTCCCTTGGTCCTGCAGTGATATTTCAGAATGTTTTGAGGGTTGACTGATATAAATTCCTTTCTGCGGCCCTTAAATGAAATTGTCCCTATAAATAAAATTGAAGTGGAAAAAACTACAAAGTGAACAGTTCTGGACAATGCTTTTCCAACAGGCCGGTCGCTCTATGCGGGTTCCTTCCCAATCATTTCATTTTCACACGCACAAATTACAGCAAGCAGTAAGCACCCGTTTGGTAGATACTAAAAATCAAAACAGAAAAGGGACGTCTTACATTAGTTATATCGCTGTCAACTTAACGCTGGAGGCTAATAATTTAGAAACTAATATTCCTCACCTGACTTAATTCACATTACTGTAGTGTGTGCGTGTTTACGAGGTTTTTTGTGATTGTCTGTTTTTTGCCCTTTCTTCTTGTGAACAAACAAAGAGTTGGTTGAAGCTTTGTGGAGAGTGGAGACTTTTCTAAAGGTGGTGGAATTTCGATGCTTAGAAAGAGGGGAATATATAAGTGAGCAGTGCTATTAATTCAGAATCTTCCTTTAGTTCTCCCTCCATTTTTTATTAGTGGCTGTCACAAAGATATCAAGTGTTGCTTTGTCGTTACTTCTTCCCCCGCATTTGATTGGTTTCCGTTGTTTTGTAGTTCCTCATTCTGGTATGTTTCCGGAATTCACTGATAAATTAAGGTACATGCTTGGTTTGTTTTTCACAGCAATAAATTTGATTTCTTTATAGATTTGATTTATATATATATATATATATAGGGATCCCGTACGTATGGGATTGGCAATTTACAGTTTTTTTTTTTTTTGCCAGCGGTAATTTAGAGTTAGTTTGTTTATTCTTGCCATGCGCTGATGAGAATCGGACTTGGTGTAACATTAAAAAATTCAAAACTTTAAAACAATGCTTTGAGATTTTGTAGATAACAAAAGATTATCTATTTAAAGTCCAGCTCGACTGAAATGCAAATTTGCCAGTCCGATGCAATGTTTTTTTCTCCCTTTTTTAAGGAAAAAGGATGACAATAATGGCATGTAAAGTTTGGGGTCTTGTGCTTTTCTAAATTGTTCCTTTCATAGATGGGCAAGAAAAGCATTTGGATATATTCTCCGGTCCTTAATATAAGACCCATTTAACTAATTTGATTATATTAAGGAAGTTAGGTAAGTTAGTTAATTATAGAAAAAGTGACACGTTTTTCCTAAAACACCATAATCATCTTTCTTAATACCTCGTCTTCATCTTCTATTTGATTATGGTTGAGGGAGTATCCATAGGGGTAATTTAGAGAAATTGATAAATATGAGAAATGAGTCTTATATTTAAGACCAAAACCACTCAAAAATTGGATCCTATATTAAAGACAGGAGGAGTATGTCGAAGAAGATTTGTGATATCAATAGTGAGCTGTGTTTTCGGCCCTCTCCCAAATTTTATAGGTGGAAGAAGCACTTTCAAATTTATTGGATAATATTTAAAATATTTTCTTAAGTACTAAATGTAAAAATTATATAATTAATTGAGTTTGTTACTTTTTAAAAATATTTTTACTTATTTGTAATGAAATTATCTTAGATATCTCTCCCTTTTTTTCCCGGCCAACGAGCTCTAATAAGTCACGTAGGAGGAAGAAGAGAACTGCTCGTACGACCATTACTTTGGTTTTTTACGTCACATACATCTTATTTTTGCCAACATGCGTCATCTATATTATTGTGCTATAATTACAGTTTTCTTTTCCTTTTTTTAGTATACTTCATATTGGCGTAGTAGACTTTTTCTTAATAATGATTCTCCTCATGGTCAGTATCCAAGTTTTTCTTTGTAAGTAGAAACTAAGATATTATATTTCACATATGAAATTTATCTCAAGATTTATTGATCTGTAAAATATGATTAAATCAAATTTTTAAATAAAAGATGGCTTGTTTTCCACAATAAAAACAACCAAACCAAGTGAAAAACATTGTGTAGTTTATGAGGTCCTCAAGTCACCAGGAAATTTACAATACATGGATTACAGGATATTCGTCGACGAGACGCCTATCTAGCTAAGAGCTATGCAGTTTGATTCCCTCCAACTTTCGACAGCTTTCAGAAGATCTGGACTGTTATCAATCAACGTGTTTTCTTTCAAATAGATATCAGAACCTGATCAAAAAAAAAAATCAGAAAATAATCATAATAATAAAACAATGAGAAACTAACGGGCTATTCCCAGTTCCCACAGCCAAACGAAAACGTTGTTTGTTAGTAAAAAGAGCGCCTTAATTCGTCTCGTTTGACACGTTGCCGAGCGTGATTGGTTGAACCCGATTAATTACCAACGTCTTCTGGGCGTCGCTTGTCGCACGCGCTTCCCGTGACAGCGCACTCCCGTCCCAGCAGCTAAAAGGTTGAGAGAGAAAGATGAGCGAGAATCGTGGAAAATTTTCCCGGCAGACCCACCACTCGCGTCTTTCTATAATTCTAGCCATCCCTTACGCACAAACAAGGCTGCTTTCCTTTCTTTTCTTTCCTTCTTTCCCATCTCCGTTAGGAACAAGTAATACCGCTTTCTGACTTTCTTACCTTCCCCTTACATCCTTAATTAGACTTTAATTTTGGTCTTAATCTTGAATTAAATATGCCTTACCCTCGAAAAGTCAGTCTGCATTGACAATGAGTTCTTGCACTGATGAGGGGCATCGCTTCCAAGGCAAGGCAGCTATCCAACCCCTTCGAACTTGAAAGTTGAAACTTGAAACTCTACTGTTAATCTTTCATAATTCATCAAGTCCCCACTCTTCTAATTGATGCATGCCCTCTGATGATGCGCTCTTTCCTCGACCTCTCAGTCTGGCTCACTCTTTCGGTTACTCCCCCTTACTCTCTTTCTCTTTCCCCGATCTGCCTCTAGCGGCCAGCAGGATCTCTCTTTGCTGTTCCGCAGCTCTCCAATGTCTGTCTGATTTTTGTCAAGGTGATTTTTCTGTCCTATCTCTGGGGCGCTTGTTTGTTTCCCTAGAAACAAGAACATTAGACTATATTAGGAGGAATCGAAGTTAATTTGTTTATTTTCTCGTTCTTACTTTGCCCCTCGTGAGAAAGGAAAGCAGAATTTCTTGACAGTGGAGCTAATTTCTGTACGGACCATCTCTGGTTCCCGCATTCTTCATTCTATGGCATACATGGACTGACTAACCGAAGCAATACACGTTCTACACCTTTTTCCTTTAAATTTCGGGTCTAAATTAGAGATTAGGATCATAGATAATGGCTTCCGTAAACCGCTTTTTCCTGTTTTATTTCTATATGTGTAATGTAGCGATGCCTCATGGAAGCTTAATAAGTTCAAGTAAGCTCAGTCCGGTCTGTTTGTTCTTTCTCTAGGCTTTTTCTCTTTTAATAATGATATTTAAATTTTATTAGATTGATAAAAATTAGCATTTGATGCTGAATCAAAATCTCTCAAAATTCTTCCCTCTTTGTTGTATTGAAGGCTCGGCTGGAAACGGCCATGGCATCAAGGCATGGTGCAAAGTCAAAAAAATTAGGATCGAACAATTCAAAAACTGCCAATTCCCCATCATCTTCCACCACATCATCGTCAAAACAATTTCTGGAAACCACTATTGATGGTCTCAGCTCACCAGCATCTTCATCAGCTCGAAGTAAGCCACAGTATTTTTACTCGGAAAGTATGCCTTCAGATGCAGAAAGAGCAAAAGAAAATGTGACAGTGACAGTCCGGTTTCGCCCCCTGAAGTGAGTGCTGCTTTTCTAAACTATATCTGTTATCCTTGGATTTCAATCTACATACAGCTGTTAAGTTGACTGGGTCTACGTCTGGGACAGTCCAAGAGAAATACGTCAAGGAGAGGAGATTGCATGGTACGCGGATGGAGAAACTGTTGTGCGAAATGAGTATAATCCTTCCATAGCATATGCATATGGTAAAGTATGACATTTAAGAATGGAGTTTTTTTCTCTATACTTACTTTTTATGCGCAGTTCAAGCTCAGGAAATGTTCTTTTTCGTTTCAGTTATATCTAACTCAGTTCATTGATCTTTCTGTTTCTTGTTTCCAGATCGTGTCTTTGGTCCTACAACTACAACACGTCATGTCTATGATGTTGCTGCTCAGCATATCGTTAATGGTGCTATGGAGGGCGTCAACGGTATGTGACATATTAACTTAATGCTCGCTAGCTATTCATATGGTTGAAGTTTAAAATATACGCTTGCTGCCAGAAAGTCGCTCTTTCTTTTTCCTTATTGTAGTTGGGTGATGGATATATGTTTTGAAACAATACAGGTCTTAAAAGTCTCACAGCAACTAATTAGGTTGGAAGTTATCGTGTGATTTACTGTAAAATGAGATAGCCCGTGAGCTATTTGTTGGGTGCCAATTCCTTTCACACTTGTTAAGCTAGCAATTAACGGCTCCAAAAGGGCTACTTGCATAGGTATTTGATCAGTGGAGAGTTCTAGTTGTGGGTGAGGTCATTAAGTGTCACAAAGTATAGCCACTGAGACATCAACTCTCCAAAGGGAGCCAATTGGTGGAGACTAGGGTAGTATGAGATACTTTAGTTTCGCATTGAGTACTATGGGAAGTTTCATGGGATATTTAAGTTGGTTAGTTGTCTCACTTTTATAGTTAGATTTTGGGGAAGGGTCTCTCATTCCACTTAGGTGGCCGTCATTGACCATGCCAATTAAAAATCACTGTGCAAACGGACATGTGGCGGAAGAACTTGGTTGTTTGCAGATCTGGTATGTTGGATAACTTGTATATAAATTCCTTTTTGTTTTTCTTCACAGGCACAATATTTGCATATGGAGTAACAAGCAGCGGAAAGACTCATACAATGCATGTGAGGCCATATTTGATTTATCAGTCTTCATCTTATTTGTTTCGCTTTTTTTTTTAATTAAACATTTATGTATCATACTTTTAGGTCTTTTAATGGATTAATACTAGGTCAGGAATTGTCCTTTTGTTTACTTACAAATCTTCTTTTTCCAAAATATTACTGATGTGTTGGTTACTAGATGTCATGTGTCTTAGCGGGAGTATATGATTTTTGGATACACAAGATTGAGTTAAGACGAGCTTTCTTGGTAGCCTCAAATTGATTCAGCTTAAGCTGTTGTCACAACTTTTAGCCTCTGTATCATGCAACATGTATAACTCATTGAATTGACACCGCATCTTCTGACCACTAGGACTAGAACTAACATTGCAAGTATCCATATCAATGGCACATCATGGCTGCTTTGCATTAAGTTTTGTGGGTTACCGTGGAATTTGGTGTGGAAAGTATGCAGTAGTAAGTTGATAACAAGAGCAGTTGGGTCTAATATCAGGTCTGACCTGTGGTCCTACCCTTAGTTATAAATATTTCACCTTTTGGAAAATAGGCTAATTTAGCTTCTTCTTATGTTAAATGATCATAATTCACTCACTATGTTTAGTACCGTCCTAATGGAGTTAGGTTGAAAATGTTCCATCTTCTGTTTTTTTATTTTATTTTATTTTAAATTCTTGAGCTCCATAGTCTCAACAAGTCGATTTGACGTTAGATAGAAAATCTTTTACACCTTCCTTTCTCAAAAATCTGCAGCAGCACTTTTTTAAAACAGCTAGTGTTGTGTGAACTGATTAGAGCACCTGATAGTCAGTTAGTCATTAAAAATAAGTACTGCTTGCATAAGCTCATTTTGGTTCTATTGGGAGATCTGGTGGTGGGTGATTTTGTAAAGATGGCCTTAGGTTAGTTTGTGTAATATAGTTCAAGTTTAAGGTTGCATTCCCATACTCGTTTCTTTATCTGAACATTAAGCATAGTAAAATTGCGGAGCAAAACTTCTGCATCATTTTTCGTGGCTACTTAGTAATATGTGTGGTGCTAACAAATACTGTCTGGTTTGTGCCCATGGCTATAGTAATAAGCCTGGAACTAGGAGGGCTCTTCTAAGATATTTTTCTTTCTTTTGTTTTTCTAATTTCCCCCCTTCTCTATTTTGGTTCTTGGAGGAATTCATATCCTTCCTTTTGGCATCCTTCTTTTCGCTCATAATTTTCCTTCTTTTGAAAAGAAAAGAGAGAAAAAAAGTTAATGCTGGGATTGGTGAATGTTTTGAATATATGCTCATGGAGTCCACAATTGTAGGGTGATCAAAGATCTCCTGGAATTATACCTCTTGCTGTGAAGGATGCATTTAGCATTATCCAAGAGGTAAGTTAGATATTAGCTATCTGTTGCCTGTGTTTGTTGTATTTCTTATAGTAGAAATTACTATGTATACTGTTTTGGCACCCCAGACTCCAAACCGAGAGTTTCTCCTTCGAGTTTCATACTTGGAGATCTACAATGAGGTACACTTCTTTTTGCTCTAATAATGTAAATATTGTTTTTCACAAATGAAACTGTTCAACATAAATTGACTTCTAATTGATGCTTTACTTCTCTGTGGCTTTACTGTCCATTAATTTCCCCCCCTTCCAGGTGGTTAATGACTTACTAAACCCAGCCGGACAGAACTTAAGAATCAGAGAGGATACTCAGGTATTGACTTGAATTTTCTTCCCTTTTTCTTATATGCTTTATCTTTCTTGTGCATAGCTATTTTAGGAATAAAGGTTGAATGTGATGACTTTTTCTGTTTGCTTTACTCAAGTTTAATTTTGATAGCCAAGTTCATTGAACGAAGTGAAATGTTAACTTATATATCATGTGTCTTCAATTTAAGACACTGGGTGTATGTAGCATCATGGATATCGAACATATACACTTATTAGTGTGTATTATGTCAGTAGCTTGATTTCTTTTTATCATGTTAACTGCTTCACGATAATTTGGCTATTAAAGCACTACATCTTTTCTTAACAACTTGTTTGCCTTGTAACATTTTTGAATCTCCATTTCCTTTTGTCCTTTAGCTAGAGACTGCTAAAAGGGTACGTGGTGACTTTAAATAAGATAGCTGAATTTGGCAAAACAGGCTACCTAAAACTTGGTGTTGGCACTGTCGGACATAGTTTATTTGGAGTTTTCTAAATAGCTATTGTTTCAAGAAAAGTTTTCTCAACAATATCTTGATTGACTCGCAGGGCACCTTTGTTGAGGGAATAAAGGAAGAGGTTGTTCTATCCCCTGCTCACGCACTTTCCCTTATAGCAGCTGGAGAAGGTAATGGATTGACTAGTTCTATTTTATTGTCATTAATTTTTTGTCATCCTTTTGAATTGCTTTTTTCTAGGGGGTTAAAATCTTGTGAGATACCCTAATTAATTTGTTTGTATGTGCAATAAAAATTTCGTCCTGTTGTCTTGTGTTATCACTAGGCGCTGTTTAAGTAATTTTAATATGGGGTTTTGCTTTAAGGAGCCTGGTAGAAGACACAACCTTCCTTACTTATCTCCTTGCTTTTGCTTTGTTTGGATTTTTTTGGGAAGGTTTTACATGTAAAAAAGAGTAAGCATATAGTGAAAGATGTTGTTTTTATGTCATGTTCTTGATGGGTTGTTGGTCAAAACTAATTAATCTATTTTGCTACTTTCCTAATGATAATCATAGTTGGGTTCTGCAATTCTACTTGATAAAACAACTTTTTGTTTTTTCATTTTATATGTTCCTTTCTTGCTTACCATGACCATCTTTATTTGCTGACAGAGCATAGACATGTTGGGTCTACAAACTTCAACATACTTAGCAGCAGGAGCCATACCATATTTACCCTGGTGGGTTTGCTGGACCTTCAAGGAAGATTGGTCTTGTTTAAATTGATTGACAGGGATTTTATCTTATGCTCTTAGAGTACCTCTTGCTACCTGTTTGCATATCTAAAATACCATTTCATTCATATGAGTTGTAATTCTATGATATCTTGTAACAGACTGTCGAGAGCAGTCCATGTGGTGAAAATAGTGAAGGAGAAGCTGTAACACTGTCACAACTGGTAATTATTGAACATTGCTTTATCACTTTTTGGTTGCACTTCATTTGCTTGCACATGTTATGTGAATGCTTGACATTTGTCTGTTGTTTCTTACATTTTTTTTATTTTAATCTTTTACTTATACATGCAGAACCTCATCGATCTGGCAGGTTCTGAAAGCTCAAAGGCTGAAACAACCGGAATGAGAAGGAGAGAAGGATCTTATATCAACAAGAGTCTGCTAACTCTTGGCACTGTGAGGCCTCAAACTTCGTTGGTGTTTTTTTGTTTTTTTGGCCTGGACTCAAACCTTATTGTTAGATGAGCCTAATCTGAGGGTGTCACTCTTTTATTTGTTGCCAGCGATTTATTTCTTTTAATTAACTTATACATGACTGGCTAGAGCCTGGAAATTATCTGCTATGATTTCATTTCTAAGCCCCTATCTTTTTATTCATGGGCCCCTGTTTTCAGTGAATTATACTGTTGAACTGGTTAGACATGTTGCGGTGGTATTTCAAATTGACTGAAGAACTTGAATTTTTTAACCGAGATACCTGCATCATTGCTGTACAGGTTATTTCGAAATTGACTGAAGGGAGAGCTAGTCACATACCTTACAGGGACTCCAAGTTGACCAGATTATTACAGTCTTCACTCAGTGGTCATGGACGTGTCTCTGTAAGGCTTTCCCTGTTTATAAATTTGCAGAATGACTATGCATGGATTTCTTTGTGAAAAATAATTTCATGACATGAGATCAGTCTGTGGCTGAGGAACTTGAAATAAATTGACAATCCTCTTGGTTATTCTTTTGTTGGCATTTGAAATACAGCTCATTTGCACCATAACTCCTTCATCAAGTAGTGGTGAAGAAACACATAATACGTTGAAGTTTGCACACCGGGCAAAGCACATTGAAATACAAGCAGCCCAAAACAAGGTAAGCACATTTCATGGGATTTAAATTTCCTTTCTATTGAAGTTCTTTCTTATAATTCCCTCAGGCTGAAATCTTAGGGACCTGCGTGTGTTTGGAGGAAAGGTTTATTCAGAATGTTAGACCATTTCATGTGCTTGGAAATAAGATTAAATTCTTTGCTTCAATTGGTGCCAATCACTTCATTTGTTTTCCCCCCTTCATTGCTTTGAGAAATAGCATTATTAAGTCCTTTTCTTTTTACCTTTCCATATCATTGAACCATAAAACATTGAACCTGCGCAGATAATTGATGAGAAGTCGCTTATTAAGAAATACCAACATGAAATTCGATGCTTGAAAGAAGAGTTAGAACAATTGAAGAGGGGCATTGTTACAGTTCAGCCAAAAGGTACAGGTGAAGCTGACATCGTGCTCCTAAAACAAAAGGTAATGTTATATCACAATTTTCAGAGTCCTGCTCGTTGTGCGCCCCCCCCCCCTTTTTTTTGCCTTGGCACACATAGCGGCTTTACCATGGCTCAAAATTGATTTGAACGTGAACAATCCAGTGGTTTTCTAAAACGTCCAGCATAAATTTATTTTTCTTCTAGTTAGCAGAAGTCATTTTGCATGTATTTGGAAAACTGTGTAATCTTAGCATGAACTTCTGTGTGTGTGGTGGATTATAACTTGAAATTATGTTACAACTGGTTGTTCGATGAGTGGGAATTATCATTTCTATGTTTTTGTGTGTTTTTAGCTATGCTGCTGTTCTCTATGCTTCTTTGTTACACGAGTATCCATGTTTTGGAACTTTGCTGAATCAGCTTAGGAAGTGTGTGACCATATGACCACACGTAGCCAATTAGCCAGGCAATGGAGGTACCATTTTGTGATTAACACTGGCCTGTAGACTGTAATCATTAGGGTGTCCTTGAGGCATGTTAATCCTACTGTGCATTGTTTTGTAATCAGATTTGAGGAAATCAGAAATTGTTTAATGTTTTCTGGACTTCTCATCATTGTTCTTCTTTGAAATGCCACGTTCTGAAGTTGAATGCTTCAATTATTGTCATGTGATATGCGAAGCTAGAAGATGGTCAAGTTGCCCTGCAATCTCGACTGGAGCAAGAAGAGGAAGCTAAAGCTGCTTTACTAAGCAGGATTCAACGGTTGACCAAGTTAATTTTGGTCTCCACAAAAGCATCACACTCATCAAGATTTCCTAACCGGTCTGGTCCACGAAGAAGGCATTCATTTGGCGAGGAAGAGGTCAGTTGAAATTAGTAGTTTACATTACATGTTTTAACACAGGCTATATAATGACATTCTGTTTAATTGTTTCCCTGTTCATACATGTTTTAATTATACATTATGTTTACAGCTGGCATACCTTCCATACAAAAGGCGGGATTTAATCCTAGATGAGGAAAATATTGATTTATATGTTAATCTAGAGGGAAATGCAGAATCAGCTGATGACTCTCTTAAGGAGGAGAAAAAGACAAAGAAGCACGGACTCCTAAATTGGTTGAAGTTACGGGTGAGGTGTTCCACGGGTGTTTGGTAATGCTGGGAAATTGTTACCTGGCAACTCATTAACAATGCTACTTGCATGTCTTCAATATATTGAATGCATCTATTAATTTCATCTTAAAAAGTATCAAACCAAACTTCATTTTTTCTCTGCTTCTCCATTATATTTATAACACCACCAATTTTAGGGATTGCGGATCATCAGATCATGATTTTAAAAATAATTAATATTTGGTTGGTCTCCCGATGACTTTTTCATCTTCATTGGTGAATTTGGTTTTGTGGGAAAGCAGGGCCTGAGGTTACATATATCTTTTTTTTAAAAAAATAAATAAATAAATAAATTTAGTGAAGTTTTAATAAAATGGCTCTTCGCTTGATTTCGTCACAATGAACTCATTTTCGAGGATTAGTTTTCTATTTGTTTAAGCTTGTGCATTTATTGTCATGATCAGAAACGAGACAGTGGATCTAGTGCCTTGACAGGCACTAGTGATAAATCCAGTGGGGCAAAATCTGTTAGTACACCTTCCACCCCTCAAGCAGAAAGTGGCAATCATACAGAGTCCAGGCTTTCCCATTCTTTACTTACGGAAAGTTCTCCATCTGCGGATCTTATATTGGAGGCTAAAGAGGACAAAGAAAATCATGAGGATAGCTTGTTGGGACAAGAGACACCTTTGGTATGTAATTAGTTCCTTTTGTTACTGCAGCTTTGCAGAGAAATGCTAGTTTCTAGCATTAATGCCTCATATTCGCTATCATAATGGACAGAACAAAACACCACATGCTATGCCCTATGTGTGTTGTCATAAACCGATACAGCAATTATTGTATCACAAAGCGCTTGCATTTTATAAAGCAACCACAACTGACCTGAATTCTGTTAGTAACGCATATATGCTTGTAAGTACTGAGCGTAGCCATCATCAAGTGCATATAATACCCTTGTCATTCTTCAAGAGATGAGTATGAAGCAAGGTATTTTTTATGTCCTGATGTGGAGAGTAACCCGTAATTTGGTTTGTAATCATACTTTTAGCTCTTCATCCTGGTGATCATTTTGACAGACATTTGTGGAGACTGTATTACTTGTGAACCTCTAAATTTTTCTTCTCAGATGTCACTTTCTTGTTTTATTGTCTAGACGAGCATAAAATCGATTGATCAAATTGATCTTCTGAGGGAGCAGCAAAAGATTTTGTACGGAGAGGTGGCACTTCATTCAAGTGCTCTGAAAAGACTATCTGAGGAAGCGGCAAAAAGTCCTGGGAAGGATCAGATTCAAGTATATTTCTATATTCTTTTGTCTGTTGTGATGGGGGTGTGGTTGTGGGTGTGGGACTCACTGATACTATCACTTTAGTATGCCTGAAAGTTACACATCCGTCGCTGTTTTAAACTTCAGGTGGAGATGAATAGACTGAAAGATGAGATAAAGGCTAAGAACAAACAAATAGATTTGCTTGAAAAACAAATTGCTGATTCCTTCATTACTTCAGATAAGATAGATCAATCAGGAATATCACAAGTATGTTCAGTTGACATCACTGTTTTTCTGTTTCATGTGTTATTAGCGAACCTACTTAATGCTGGTTATTTCATCTGCAGACTGTTGAGGAACTAATGACACAATTAAATGAGAAATCATTTGAACTCGAGGTGATCATTTTTTTTGCCAATACTTGCCAACTTAATCATTACATTGCACAGAAATTTTGTCAACTTCAATTTATGAGTGAATTTTAAGAAATGCTCTGATAATGCAAGGCAGTGGTGATCTTGTGATTATCTAGCATGGACATTGTAAATGTCAAATATGAAAGCAGCGCATGAGCAATGTGTTTATCTAATGCTCTACGTTATTTTGCATATTTTCAGGTTAAAGCTGCAGATAACCGTGTAATTCAAGAGCAGCTCAATCAAAAGGTGCAAAATCTTGCCCAAGTCACTATGAAATTCAAATTGTTCGTATTATGCAATGTTATCAGCTATGCTAATTGTTTGCCATCATCAGATACGTGAATGTGAAAGCTTTCAAGAAACAATTGACTCCCTGAAAAAGCAGCTTGCAGATGCACTTGAGTTAAAAAGCTTTCTCCCTGTAGATCATTCGCAACATTTCTCTATAACGAAAGAGCACCATGGTGAAAGTCACTTGGACAAAGAAAATGTGATGAAGAACCAGTCCAACGAAGGTTTTCTTTTACAAGCACAGGTGCGTGATTTGAGATACGTGATTTTTAGACTGTCCCGTAGCAATTTGAAACGCATTCCCTGTTAGGCTGTTGGCCTGTTTGAAATTTGTCAAGTTACATAGGTCTTGCCCAACTTGACTCGTGCTTTCTTATTTTGTGGGCCCAAATAGATGAATGAGTTATGCTAGGCCACAAGTTTCGTGTGGACAAAGTGTGCTGAGCGTATACTGAGCGTTCAATATTTACTGATCAACGCTATGGCTTCTTCCGTAAAAGTAGCAAAACAAAATTTCAGTTTCATTATAAAAGGTCATGCAAATCTGTTACTTCAGGTGGGCTTTGATTTCCAAATGGTATCAACTGATGTGTGAAAATAGTCTATGTCGTCGTGTGTTATGAATTGTAGCACATCAATCATAACTGACAGCTTGGGGGCCTTTTGAGAAGTGTCAAAGTTGAAATGTGTCAACTTTGTGTTTTAATTTTCTTTTGATTAGTTTTTCAAGCATTACCATAATAGTCGAGACTACATTGAACTCATAATCTAACAGTAGTCAATAGCTGGTAGACTCATCGGAATCTTTTGACCGCCCTCCCCCCCCCCCCCAAAAAAAAAAAAAGAAAGAAGAAAGAAAGGGAAGGGAGGAAAGAACCTTGGAGAGATGTTTTCTTAGAAAGAAAGAGGGAAGGGAGGAAAGAACCTTGGAGAGATGTTTTCTTGTTTTATTAATTGATAAATTGTTTCCATCTCTCGTCATGCTTCTATCATATAAAGTGGTCTTAGTTCCTGTATGTTGAGTCGGCATTTTTACTGACTGTTTACTTACTGATTGGGTGTACCAGATAGAAGAGTTGAAGCTGAAGGTGGCAGAATTAACAGAATCAAAGGAGCAGCTGGAACTTCGGAACCAGAAACTTGCAGAAGAGAGTTCATATGCCAAAGGATTGGCCTCAGCTGCCGCGGTTGAGCTTAAGGCACTATCAGAAGAAGTAGCCAAACTCATGAACCATAATGAGAAACTTGCTGCTGAGCTGACTGCATCCAAAAGTTCCCCCACCCAACGTAGGAACAGTACAGTAGTCCGAAATGGACGGAGGGAAAGCCATGTTAAACGAACTGATCAAGGGGTGTCAAACTCGGATGTTAAGAGAGAACTGGCGCTGAGCAAAGAGAGGGAACTGTCATACGAAGCCGCTCTTTTGGAGAAGGACCACAAAGAGGCTGAGCTTCAAAGGAAGATTGAGGAGTCAAAACAAAGAGAAGCGTACTTGGAAAATGAACTTGCCAACATGTGGGTTCTCGTGGCAAAGTTGAAAAAGTCGCAAGGAACAGAAACTGACGATTCTAGGTTGACTAGAGAGACTTTGCAAGTGGACGGTTTTGACATCTGATGTAATCTTGTGATATAGTGGATTTCAATTGATCCATTGTGATAGATGGCTTTTCGCAGTAGTGTAGGGAGAGAGGGGTGTGTAAAGATTGTTGTTAGCAGGGAAGTGTGCGTTTCTCTTCACCCGCCATCGCTTTCGATTTTGGTTCATAGCAAGGGCTTCCTGTTTGTGTATACAAATAATGGCTGCTTCCTTTTCGTGACCTTGGTTTCTTTAATCCTAACCAATGATGCGCAGGTCTTATCTTCGCCTCTTTCGTTCCTTCCTTTCTATAGTTTGGCCCGTCATGCTTTGTAAATATTTCAACATCTAAGTGCTTCTTTAAGATTATGATTGAGATTTTTAAGAACACTTATTCACATAATTTGAAACATTTTATATATATATATATTTGGTATTCTATAAATTACTTTTTTTGTTCCAAACAACCCTTAAAATTGAACAAAATACTTGTGGGCATGGATGATGGCGTTTTTTTTTTGTTTTTGTGGATCATACCCTAAGAACAATATATTTCTTATAATTGCTTAATAACGATTTGGTTTGCTTTTGTTAAAAAAAGATATGCCATTTTAGCAATTGCCTGTGCGTCTCGCTTTAGGATTTTTTACCCGAAGGATCTAGTTCCTAGTTTCCAACGATGCTTTAGGATTTTAGGCTTTCAAGGTTCCATCTTAGCATTTGTGTTGCCTCAGTTGAGGCATGTCTTCTGTTTTCGTTATTGTTTTTATTTATTTAAATTCCCCGGCCCGACTGTTTAGCGTCATGCCATGACATCATCGAACGGATTGGTGTGCAAATGACTGAATTACGGGCAATGATGCTGTAGAAAGAAAGAAAGAAAGAGGGAAGGGAGGAAAGAACCTTGGAGAGATGTTTTCTTAGAAAGAAAGAGGGAAGGGAGGAAAGAACCTTGGAGAGATGTTTTCTTGTTTTATTAATTGATAAATTGTTTCCATCTCTCGTCATGCTTCTATCATATAAAGTGGTCTTAGTTCCTGTATGTTGAGTCGGCATTTTTACTGACTGTTTACTTACTGATTGGGTGTACCAGATAGAAGAGTTGAAGCTGAAGGTGGCAGAATTAACAGAATCAAAGGAGCAGCTGGAACTTCGGAACCAGAAACTTGCAGAAGAGAGTTCATATGCCAAAGGATTGGCCTCAGCTGCCGCGGTTGAGCTTAAGGCACTATCAGAAGAAGTAGCCAAACTCATGAACCATAATGAGAAACTTGCTGCTGAGCTGACTGCATCCAAAAGTTCCCCCACCCAACGTAGGAACAGTACAGTAGTCCGAAATGGACGGAGGGAAAGCCATGTTAAACGAACTGATCAAGGGGTGTCAAACTCGGATGTTAAGAGAGAACTGGCGCTGAGCAAAGAGAGGGAACTGTCATACGAAGCCGCTCTTTTGGAGAAGGACCACAAAGAGGCTGAGCTTCAAAGGAAGATTGAGGAGTCAAAACAAAGAGAAGCGTACTTGGAAAATGAACTTGCCAACATGTGGGTTCTCGTGGCAAAGTTGAAAAAGTCGCAAGGAACAGAAACTGACGATTCTAGGTTGACTAGAGAGACTTTGCAAGTGGACGGTTTTGACATCTGATGTAATCTTGTGATATAGTGGATTTCAATTGATCCATTGTGATAGATGGCTTTTCGCAGTAGTGTAGGGAGAGAGGGGTGTGTAAAGATTGTTGTTAGCAGGGAAGTGTGCGTTTCTCTTCACCCGCCATCGCTTTCGATTTTGGTTCATAGCAAGGGCTTCCTGTTTGTGTATACAAATAATGGCTGCTTCCTTTTCGTGACCTTGGTTTCTTTAATCCTAACCAATGATGCGCAGGTCTTATCTTCGCCTCTTTCGTTCCTTCCTTTCTATAGTTTGGCCCGTCATGCTTTGTAAATATTTCAACATCTAAGTGCTTCTTTAAGATTATGATTGAGATTTTTAAGAACACTTATTCACATAATTTGAAACATTTTATATATATATATTTGGTATTCTATAAATTACTTTTTTTGTTCCAAACAACCCTTAAAATTGAACAAAATACTTGTGGGCATGGATGATGGCGTTTTTTTTGTTTTTGTGGATCATACCCTAAGAACAATATATTTCTTATAATTGCTTAATAACGATTTGGTTTGCTTTTGTTAAAAAAAGATATGCCATTTTAGCAATTGCCTGTGCGTCTCGCTTTAGGATTTTTTACCCGAAGGATCTAGTTCCTAGTTTCCAACGATGCTTTAGGATTTTAGGCTTTCAAGGTTCCATCTTAGCATTTGTGTTGCCTCAGTTGAGGCATGTCTTCTGTTTTCGTTATTGTTTTTATTTATTTAAATTCCCCGGCCCGACTGTTTAGCGTCATGCCATGACATCATCGAACGGATTGGTGTGCAAATGACTGAATTACGGGCAATGATGCTGTAGCTACTTTAAACAATAATTTTGTTTAAAAATTCTTGCATGGGGATCAATTTGTTGTTTGATATTAATCATATCAATTAACATGTTGAAATTTCCCATAATTATAGAAACTTCTCAACGAATTCCACTAACTTAAATTTATTTTATAATTTGAAAAAATCATTTTGTCTCCCAAATATTTAAAATATTGCGAAAAAAATTTTCTATGACTAAATTATAAAGTTAACTTCCACAATATTCAATGTTTTCCAAAATATAACATGGCAATTTTTTACCGTAAAAGACCGTTTTCTGTCAAATAATTTATGTAAATTTGAAAATATACCGAGAGAATGAAATTAGATCCGCTATTTAAATTTTCTATGAATTTTAGAGAAAGAATAAGAGCAGAATAAAAGTGAGAGAGACCAACTGGCTATGTCCTAGACACAAAGTACCTCTTTTTTATTTCTCTTAATATGGAACATTACAAAAAAAAAACAATTAGAAGATCCAATCACCGTAAGAACTTTCACATTCGTTTTCACACACACTCGAACTTGGGACTTTTGAATCCACTATCTATTTTGCCAGATATTGCAGGCTACAATCAATCGACTTGAATGAATCTCACGTACGTCTTTCGTTTCTTGATTTGCATCGAAACGCCATGCAAGATATATATAGAGAGAGTACGTAGCAAATTCGTGGTTTCATGCTTTCATTCCATATATAAGCCATGATTTTTTATGATTTTTTATACATCAACAACCATTTTTGTACTTCATTGATGTTTTAAATAAACAAATGACAAATATAGTTAATCTCCCACCCCTCACAATATTCAATCTAATTGAAGGGTACGGTTGGTCTCTCTTATACGTAGATTGATATATAGCCTGAGGTTCTGCGGCCAGCTAGCAGACGATGTCCATCGTTTTAAAGACTAAATAAATCTCTCTATATTTATAATTATGTTGCTTATAAATGATATCCGGTATAACTGTGCAGCGCACACGTGCACGTTTTCAAACTTCACATGCTTTCTTACCGTAAGCGTCCCCGGCCGGTCATAAATACCAGATATTAATGAGACGACAATATATGCACGAAACCAATTGGGGTGTATAAGCTGGGTTCAGAGTCGTATGTGTATTCTGTATATAAATAATTAAGACGAAAATAATGTTCGCGTTTTAAAATTTATGCACATAAGGAAAACACAATAAGGTGAGCGTTTATGCTTTGTTTTATGTATTATGTACGTGTTGATTATATATATCTGCGCGCTCCTGTTTTTTTGAAGAGAAAAATCGAACATGTTATAGTTCGTGGTTGTCTTAGTTCTTGATATTCTTTTTTCTTGGTTGATTGAGTAGTTTTGGAGTCAAACTCAGTGGATGCACTGGCTTTGAGTTAAAATGTGTAGAGTTATATATATAAGACTACGCAGTCGCACGCCTTTCTGCCCAAAGTCAAACATGGCATAGAGTTTTGCAGTCTAAACCAAGGTTTTGGCAGACAACTTGCTCTCTGGTTTGGGATAGCGTTTGCATCACCTCAAGCACCATATGAACGTATGCACAAGAAAATCCAAACACGTGAGAAGATCCAAACGTGTAGAGAGTTGAAACTCTCTTGAATACTCAACACGTGTAAATAATATAAATAATATAAATAATTTTGCTTTGAGATTGATTGAGATTCTTTCATCGTAAGTTTTCAATTGTGTTGTATCAATGTAAGAGCAGCGGTGTTATGCAATTGATGATGCTGCAGCAAAGATGGATAATGACACTAGTATATTACTTCTGAATAGTTATTATTACAGCTTCTTCTGCAGATATCAAGTCCATTTAATTTAATTCCCTCTGGAACCAAATACATCCAAACACCATTAACATAAAAGCCATATATATTCTCCATCGGGATCGGTGAACGCCGTCCTTATTAGCTATAATTAGTCAACGACCACCATTTTGCTTCTTCCATCAATGCCTTTCTTTGCCCCTGCACAGCATGTATGCTTCTGCACTATCATGGCTGACACACAGTTTCACAGCATCCATATCGATCATTTTCTTTTGAACGAGAAGAAAGATCATTGCAGGCAAGCTCAAACACCAGACATAGTAGACACCACATATATATATATTTATATATATATATATATATATATAACTTTGGACCATATATATTCATAAAGCCAGACGCAGGAAAATTAAAAGACAGAAAATAAAGGACTGCGACATATTGACATTATTATGAACTGTAATTAATTCCCGCGCGCCTAGACCTAGAGCTTCAAATCCAAGTCGACTTCCTCAGTATCCAGGTCCACCACTGGGTCAGTCACCGTCATCAGTTCTGGAGATTCGGGCCGCGGCGCCTGGTTCGCATAATCTGGATTCAGCGGTTGCTCCATTGCCCCAAGAAAATTCCTGGTGGCCAATCCCGTTCCCGAGTCGTCATTTTCTTCATCAGAGGGGGTTGGGTTCGGCATATCCATGTGGTACGAATGAGCAGCGTGAACCCCATTCCAAACCGACATGAAGGGGACGTCGCCGGCGAACCTAGCGGCATGCGCAACACCTCCTCCAAAGTACACAACCATGGTCACCGCCGGGGCTCCAAATGCAGCTGCGGGCTGCTGAAACCCGAGTACTGGATGATGGATCGATTGAGTTTCTTGCCTGATCATCGCAGTCTCATAGGCTTGCATGGCATGTGATCTTGCGATGTTGTACATTTGTCTGGCCATGAAGTTCATGTCGCCACGGTGCTGAGACATACCCATCTCGGACGGTGAGTTCGAGTGGGTCTCGGACCCAAAAGGGTGGGCATCGGACATGTTTGAGTCGCCGAAGAAATTGATCTCGCGCTTCATTCTGAAGAGAGACTTTTAGGAAGGCAAAAGGATAACCGATGAAGCTACGCTCTCTCTGTGTAGGAAGAGAGAGACAAGGTGGCTGAGTGGGGAAGAAGAGCCAAGTGATACGGATATTTATCGAGAGGAATTGGGTTTTGGAGGTGTGGACCGGGGTCTAAGTCCTTGTGTGTGTGCGTGTGTGTGTGTTTTTTTTTAATTACACTTTTTTTTTGGGGATAACGCAAAACTTGAAAACAGAGTTGCTACTATTTTCTTATTTACAATTTATCAATATATCAATATGTGTAATGGGAATTAAGAGGTATGTTCGCTACTAGAGCCGGTAATACGGGCTGGGCCCGCGGGCCCAGCCCGCCAAAAAAGGCGGGTTTGGGTTGATGTTTTCCCAGCCCGCCATGGTGCGGGCTACTCTAGCCCGCATCGCTTTTGGCCCGCTCCGCCGCGGGCTCGCCCGCTGGTTGGCGGGCCAGCCCGCCAGCCCGTTTTTTTTTTTTTTTTTTTTTTTTCTGATTTTTAATACATTATATAATATAGTTAGATGATTTTGACCATTAAATTTCATATGGACATTATCTCATCCATATCATTATATATATAATTAATTAAGCACTTCATATATATGTATCGTTTTTTTTTTTTTTGGTGAAGTCATATATATGTATGGTTATATGAAGAGCACTATCCATCTTTTATTTTTATATCTATTTGTCGTTAGTATGCACGGCTTCATAAGATTAGATAAATATGTGATTTTCATATAGTCATACATACACACACATAAAAGATTTACTTAATTAATTTGGATAAAAAAACTAGTTAAATTAATTATTTATAAAAAATATATATGTTAGTTTTTCTTAAATTTCTTCTAATATTATAAATTAATTCTCTTTTTTTTTTATTAGAATCCATTACTCAAGTTTAAAACTCGGAGCCTAATTTCAACATTTCAAATTAGGCTTAACTCATACTAATATAATAAATTTAAAAAAAAAAAATTTAGGCGGGCTGGCGGGCTCGGGCTGGCATTTCAAGGTGCGGGCTACTTCAGCCCGCACCGCGGCGGGCTGGCCCGTATCCGCACCGCCAGCCCACTTTCCCAGGTCTATTCGCTACTAAGCACATATTTAGTGTTGACAAGATTATTATTTATTTTTAAATTTTGTAATTGCTAGCTTAAATTTTTGTAAATTGCGAGAGTGTGTTGATTAATGGCTGGGGAGAAATTTGCTGCTACTCCCTCCGTCCCTTTTTATAAGTAATCTTGGACTTGGTTATGTAGATAAAAAAGTTAGTTAAAGATAATAAATAAGTAAAAATTAAAAATTCTTTTTCCAAAATATTTATAGGTGAAAGAAAGTATAAGAAAGAGAATAAAAAAATTATTATAATAACAAGAATTATGAAAGAAAGAGAATGGGTGATGAAGAGAGGCAATGATTTGAAAAATTAAATAATAAATATATTGAGTATTAAAATGAGTAATTAATAGGATAAAATAAGAAATTTGCTACAAAAACTTGTAAATGTTGTTTATTTTTTGGAACAAGAGGAGAATGATAGTTGTTGTTTATGAAAAAAAAAAACGGAAGAAGTATTTAACAACAGATTTGTTGTTTTATGATAAACTCATTAAAAAAGTTAGTGCGTAAGTTAATTTAATTTGCTTTTTGTATTATATTAATAAAAAGTTATTTTTTTTAAAAAAAGTTCACATAAAAGTTTCAATAGCCACCAAAAATTTACATTCGTTGGATTTGATTTGGTCTAGTCATAATGAATGTTCCGTTTTTGCATCCTTGTGAGGAAATGCATAACAATGTATAGAGTAAAACCAAAATCCAGGATGAGAATTTGAAAATGAGAAAATCTCCAAAAAGATTCATTATAAATGCGGGGTGTCTATTGCAAGTGAATGCTTATTAAGTGTATTAAATATGGATAAACTCTAGGGAGAACTACGTACACAATCTGAATTATATTCAACCCAATAGTGTGGTTAAGTAACCGTAGGCGGCAAAGAGAGGGAAAGTATTGAGTAAGCTTATGTGGCCACAATTTTTTTTTAAAAAAATATTTTTCTTCCACCTTCAAAGTTTATATTCCTATGATCCTTAATATTATCTTCGATCTTTAATATAAGCCCTCATTTGATTTTTATTTTAGTCTTAAATATAAGACTCAAATCCACTTTGTCTATCATATTTATTTATTTATTTCCAAAATAATCCTTCTAATAATAATAATCCTAACCAACAAACTTGATTAGCAATGATATTTTAGGAAAGATAACACCTATTTATTACAAATAACTAATTTAACTTGTTTTCTTAATCTATTCAAATTAGTCAACTAGCTCTTATATTTAGAATAGAACCGGAGATAGTATAAGATCTATTTAACTAATTTGATTAGATTAAGAAAATTAGGTAAGTTACTTAATTATAAAAAATATGATATATTTTTCTTAAAACACCATAATCATCTTTCTTAATATCCTTTCTCTCTATTCTAGTTGATTATAGTTGAGGGAGTATTCATAAAGATAATTTAGGAAAAATTGATAAATATAAGAAATAGATCTTATATTTAAGACCAAAATCAATTCAACAACTAGGTCTTATATTAAGAACTGAAAGAGTATAAACTTTATATTAAAAATATATATTAAAAAAATTTTGACTTTAATTTCCCCATAATTAAATCTTAACTTCACCTCTATGGCCACTGGGTTTCATTTGACACCAATGGATGTACATAGCAATTGCAACTTTTGTTTGCGAGCACCGACTCAACCATTGACGTTTGCCAAAAAGCCAAAAATAGACGGGGCATGGCTTACGAATTTGCCATCAATTGAATTGAATTCACGCAGCAAAAATGAATTTAGTTTAATTCCAACACACACAATCACTTTTTTAATTATTTTTATTTATTCATAATTCAAAAAAATAATCTGAGTTCTCATTTGTTTAATTGTACTCTTATTTTTACAACTAAAAATATAAGATAGCCTATATTCATCCTCTGATAAAGTGTTTTAGGGATCACGTTAGATGATTAGACAAATAATGAATCATTAGGTCTAATTAATTAAAGATATTGAGTACATATTTTTTCAGTCTTATTTATGAGACATTTCTAATATATTTTGTTATAATAAAAAAATTTTAAGACATTACTGACTTTGTCTTAAAATATAATAATCTTTCAGCTTTACTAATATTTAATTACATATTTTTAATGAGATAATAATATACAGTAATAAATAAAAGGTAAAATTATATATTCGTGTAAAAGATCTAATAATGTGACTTATAAATTGCATAAAAAATACAATCTTTCATTGTCTTATAAATAGGATTATAGGAAATAAATTTTACTATATTTATAGTTTGATATATAAATAACAGATAAACAAAATACATGATTAAGTGATTAATAACGGGTCCTTGAGTGTCACGTGCATTTTCGCTGAGACCACAATTAATTTGAAAGGGATAAATTTGAGAAATTATTATATCGCGTTGCCGGATCTTTTATCTTATATTGGGAAAAAAAGTTTAAACAATCCATATATATTAATTGAGAAGATTAAAAAAAATTGATAATTCATCTGGGTTTTACGCTTGTTTGTTACAAGACCTGAGAATTTCAGCTTTCTTTCTTTCTCATGCTCTTTTTTTTTTTTTAAGTCAGAATTTTTTTTTGCTCTTTCTCTAATTAATTAGAACCAAAATAAAAATTTTAGCCTTTTGTTACGTTGTATATTAACAAGAAAAGTTTATTTAGCCGTTAGGATTCTGCTTTTTCAAATGAGATTTTGTCTTCTGATTTGATTCTAGCTAGAATATATAACCCGTGTGTGTGTGTGTAGAGATCATTTAATTTTGCAATATTATTTTATTCTATCTAGCTACCGCAACCCAAAATTATTCAAACAAAGATAAAAGAAGTTAACAGAATTATAATCTTTTATTAATTCTTCAAATTGCAACACTTAGAACCATCTGAGAGTTGATGACGAAGTGGTGGCAGACGAGGTTAGTGTGATGCGTGGATGGTGGGAAGCGCTGTAAGAATAAAGTGCTCTGGCTTATGATCGCATTCAGTGTCCAGATGAACAAATGCTCGCTCCACTTCTGGCAGTTCTTCAATCCTTATCTGCAATGACTCTCCAATCTCATGTCCTTCTTTCAGCGGTAGATCCTCTGGTAGTTCTATGTCCACCTTATCCAAAAATCCTCTTTAGACGTACGTACATAGTCATTCTAATAACCCTAGCTTTACACCATCCACTAAATAAAATACGTTAAAATTAAATTATATATGTAAACAAACGATCTGATAATTTGCTGCTATTTCCCATTTTTGAAAGCCTTGAGGCCTTGAGGGTGCCTTTTGGCCAGATTTATTTGCTCTCCCAGAATGAGATCGAAGTCAGCGCGCGGTTCTTTGAACAAACTAAAAGCAGTTTACGAGAGCAGATGAACTTACCTCAACGAAGTACAAAAATCCGAAAGTGTAAGCACGGACTGGGTCGATGCGTTTGATTTGAGAATGGTATCTCAAAACAAGGTATGTCAGTTTCTGCAACACTTGTGGAGGAGCCGCTTGTCCAATCAGAGAAACTACACACATCAAATGGTAACCACTTTTAGACAGATAATTAAAATCTACAGAATAGAAATCACAGTTACAGTTGTCTCTCCTTTTCTAGATGTGTGTGTGTGTGTGTGTGTAGAGTGAGAGAACCTGCATTTTCAAGTACTGTTCCGGACCAATTTGAGATCGTATAGACTGCGAGCATAATAGCACCAATGGGGTCGATCCACCAATAGAATTTATCGCCAAGCACAGCAGCAGCCAGACCCAGTCCGTTGGTGATCACATCAACGAAGTGATCCTGCAGGTAGCTAGTAATCATTGAAGAGAAGCAATGAAATTCCAACACTTATATAGAGACGATCAAGTTAATGTACAAGTAAGATTTCACACAAGCTGTGTAAACAGGAAGTATATATTAAACCTGTGCATAGGCATGAACTATTTTGTCTGCTGAGCTTCTACAGTAAAGCCAGAGTAAAAGTTTTGCTCCAGTGGCTGTCAGCATGATTACGCACAACCAAACCATCTGATCTGAGTTCATCTTCTCAGATGGTGTGCCTTTGACCAATTGTTCCACAGCCTCAATCAGCACCTGAAATCCTTCAAAACGGAACAATTATTCTAGCTATTAAATGTGGAATTATGAGTTCTTCGTCGAATTTCCTATCTGGGCAGTTAATTGAAAAGGGAAATATAATCCAGCGATAGTTAAATAGGAATAATAATATACCCAGAGTAGCCATGATAGCTGCGAAGATGATAATGCCTACTGGTTGCAATCTCAGTTTGCCAATGGGATACTCGTAGATATTTGTCCTTTTCATGGAAATGTGCGTGAACCACAGCACACCGCCAGCCATCAGATCTAGCAGAGAATCTAGTGCTGATGCAGCAACTGCGATGGACCCACTCTTCACTGTTGCCACTACCTGTAGGACAAAACTAGAAACAAAATGAAGAGAAAGCAAGGCACCGTACACTTCATGAACGTAGCTTATTAGAAATAGATCCAACCATGTCAAAAAAGTTAGGGAAGAACCTTAAAACAAAGCAACAAAATATTAGTCCAATTAGATATGTTTATTGCCCTCTCACGCTGCACTTGTTCTCCATGCACTCGCTCGTCCTCGATCACATGGGATGATTCACTAGAATCAACCTCCTCGAAAGACCTCAGCGTCGCCAACTGTTTTTCATAATACTCTTTCTCCCCTAGAAAAATTAAATACCAACTTAAAATATGAGGCAGAAACGGTGTGGAGAAAAAGATTAGGACGACACAACAAACTAATGCGAAAATTGGTGTAATATACAATAGAGTTGGAGGAGGGAACTTGAAACTTGAAGAGTGACCTTTAGTCAGGGAAGTAGTTTTGGAGAAGTCAAGGTGAAAAGGTAGGTCGGGGTCGAGAGCACTTCGAAGCTTATCAGGCAATCTGGAGAAGAAATCGCTTTTCAGAGCACTCGCCGAATAGCTCTCTCCTTTAGCACTCAAAAATGGAGTTTCTAAATGACCTTCCATTATTAATACCCCTGCACAAGCTCTAACACCAAATATATTCTGATACGTACATCGACCCCAGCCCCGCTACTTGCTTTTATGCGTATGAGATATTCATTTGCTTTATGTTTTGGGAACTGACCGAAAGTCGTCGGTTAATGAAATATATTTTTTTAAGTTTACGGGTTCGCTTGTCAGATAAGGGTGTTCCTGGGAAATTGTGAAAGGGATGGCGCAAGGAAAGAAAGTTCAAGAATGCCTGCCTGGTAATGCTTAGCCTAAGACACCTTCCATTGAGTCCAGGTGTGTTGTTGCCGTTACCCGCAGCTCACCGCTTAATTCCGGTGCAAAGCAGCCAAATCTCACTCTCCATTTGGGAAAAAGTGACAGTAAAATTACATTCAGACACATATATAAATATTGTAAAATTCACAGAACAAAAAAGATCTTAAAACTTTTGAATCATTTTCATAATTTAAAAATATTAACGTTGTCTTGAATAAACAAAAAATATTCATGTCTTTTTTTTGGAATTTTTTATGGCTACGTATGATTTAGTCATTTACTATTCGTGCAATTTTGTGGTATACTATGGAATAGAGATAATTACATGTTTTATAATAACAATGATCACAACAATATAATTGCGCATCCACCTTAAGCCTTATCAGATCTTCAATTATTTATTAACCGCAGGCAACTAAGAGAGAGAGAATGACAGTTAAGAATCTCATAAAGAAGTTAACATCATACTATATAGCAAAAATGACTACCGAATTTCGGGAATTTAAATTATAACGAGATTCTGACTTGGTATCATACGTGCACTCGTGATCTAATTTCATTAGCCATGCATGCAACAAAAACCTAGACTCTGCATAAATATTTATTCATTCCCTTTAATTTTGCTAATAATTAGTGATAATAATTGATTTTTCTTGGCAATATAGTAAACTTTTTTTTTTGGTTGCCTACCCAATTCACCGGAACCTTACTCCAATTATATCTGGATCTGACCCATGTCGTGCACCTGGCTGTAGTGGATGAGTCTCCCAATGGGAATTTCTGTGTATGTTGAGGCTTGAACTCAAGACCTCACTTAAGTGGTACCAAGTCACTTACTACTGGCAATATATAGTAAACTGTTTTGTATGATATCATTTTGTTACAAGTAAAATTCAAACTTTTTTAAAAGCATCCTAATGCATTCCGTTGGGCTGGTTTTCTAGTTTTCTTCAATTGTTTACAAATTATGGACCGTACAGCCCTAGATAAGTCATTGGGCCTTATTGGGCTCCAAGTGCCTACAAAAGAAGAAGAAGCTGATCCAGTGATCTTGCTGGACTGTTCGTTACAGTGTCAGGAATCATCGACCCGAACCGAACCGATCAGGAGAACACGAAAGGGCAGTTGGTTCGATTCAGTAATCAGTATATGAATATATTAGAATTAGAATTGAATTGAACCGTAGTCCCAAACCGCCGGAATAATTGAGATTCAAGATCCCAGCTGGGTTTGTCTCGGCATTCTCTCGCAGGTTTTCGCAGTCAATGGCATCTCCCTTCTCGAATTTCAAGTACGCGGATAGCCTTACCGTGGTGGGTATCTCTCTCTGCACTGCGATTGTTTGCGAGGCAATCTCATGGGTTCTTATCTACCGCACCAGTTCTTACAAGAACCTTCGATCCTCTATTGACAAAGCCTCCAAGAAGCTCGAGACCATGAAGGTTGACAGCAACAAGATCAACGCCAAGAAGTCCAAGACCAAAAAGATCGATCGTGTGGAGACCAGCCTGAAAGAATCCAGCCGCGACTTGTCCCTCTTTAAGTTCAAGTCCGGCGGTGTCGTCGCTCTCGTTCTTTTCGTCGTCTTTGGGCTGCTCAATTCCCTCTTCGAAGGCAAGGTAGTCGCTAAATTACCCTTTCAACCATTTGGGCTTATCATGAAGATGAGCCATCGAGGGTTGCAGGGTAACGATCCCACCGATTGTTCCATGGCGTTTCTATACTTTTTGTGTTCGATTAGTATTCGTACAAATTTGCAGAAGTTCTTGGGTTTCGCACCGCCACGAGGTGCGAGTGCCGGTCTGTTCCCGATGCCGGATCCGAAGACCAACTGAGTGAAATATGCTTTATTTGCAAAACTTATCGATGTCGCTAGGCTAGAGGTAATTTGGAATCGCACTGAACCTTTGTGGGTCAATTCACTAGTGGAACCGAGTATAATTTCAGTTGTTAATTGCTATGACTTATCTTTAAAATGTTCTACTTCGGTTTTACCATCACAATTTGTTTTTAGAAACTTTATATATTCGTAATAATGGCAATCATTTTTTAAGTTACTAGTGATTCAGTGATTTGATTTCCTCCCGCTGTCTTTTCTGTTAACGATATTAAGTGGTTTAAACTCTTTTTTTCCTTCCTGGCCCAATACGTGGTCTACACTCTTAAATGAATCATATACGGCAAGCTTTTCTTTGTTGTTGAATTTTAGTCTATATGCTGGCTCTTAGCTCTTATAAAGATTTTATTGCCTGCTGCAATTTGTGCTTGAACATGGATCTTTTCATCTTTAGGATATAATGCTTGTTTGCATGTTTTAATACAAACTGGTTAGGCATGGTTCTTGCCCTGAATTTCACTACGTTCACTATCTTATCAGTTAGAGTGCTTCTTCTTTTTTTTGTTTTGGGGTGAAAGAATTATGCTGTAGGTTGAAAAGCATCCTGACAGTACGTTGGGATAATCATAGGTGATTTCAGTAGTGCATGTTAATATCTGTGCCTTCACTGGCCTGTTTAGAACCTAATTCTAATAGACTCTTTTATGTCATAAGGAATTAAGGATTCGTGGTTGGTTTAAGGTGTTGGAAACATATAGAACAACTTTCTTGTCCATAGCGGAAGGGGGGTGACATGGAGAGAAAGAACCGCCTGTTGGAGTCCCCTGGAGGACAGAATAGCACCACTTTGTTATTAGGAGCGGGGAGCCTGTCGCATCTAAGTCACGTAAATGCAGAAATTATCGGCTAACCACATTGTTTAGTGTGTAAATACTGTTACCATCTGGCACACGCAGTTATAATTTTAGATGTTGAAATCTGTTTGTTGGAGGTATTTTCCTTCCTTAAGACTGGGAATGGTGGAGGCATCATTGTTCATTGTTGTTACATTATATACACATCTACACCTCATCCTTATGTCATCCAATCCAGAGCTGGTTTAGGCAGAATTATTTTTGCTGAAGAGAAATTACTCGATGACTTTGGCACTATGCATTTAAAGTTCACTTTAGGCTTTATCCTTAAAATGGAATGATTGGATGGACGAAAACAAGAAAGAGCGGGGGAGAAAGGAATTTATTCCTCCTTTAATTGAGTCTAGGGATTTAACAGTCTTGTCGAGCTGTGCTATATTCATATGTCTTCACTTGTGGACTAGAAAACAGGCTTGGTTAGGCTGAGATGCTATGATGCATGACTACTTTGTTCATACTACTTATTGGAATATTTAGTATTTGGAACGGGAGTGGTGATAGGCGAACTATGGTCATATAACTAGACCCTAGACATATTACATTAGCAGGTGATTTCTATGGAGGATTTCGTCATGGGGATTTTAATTTTGTAAAGGAGTCGAGTTTTTTTCATTCTTCTTGTGTAAAATTACTGTGTGTCAAAACGAATGTTGTAGATTTCCCCTAAACTTTCTACCACCAACCTCAACCACGGCGAATATACAGTTTCTTTTTTAACTCCTCATTTTCATTTTGGTCTCATCTCACCATCCTCTAGTGTTATTACCTCTTGATCTTTTTTTTTTTTGGGGGGGGGGGGTTGTTATCTGCCCTGTTGTTAATGCTTTAGTTTGTTTTTAAGGGATGTTTAAGATTATAATTAATTATATTTTATTTATATTTCTATATTATTTTCATCCATAATATAGAAAATATGTTTAGGACTGCTCGCATCATTGCTCTCAAGTGGCTTTTATGCACTTTTATTTCACCAAGATTCATTATCATTTTATTTTCATTCTTTTCCTCATAACCTAAAAAATGATTTTACAAACCAAACAGTGCCTAAATGGTCATTCAGTGATAACGTCTAAATATTGTTTATTTTATAAATAGCATAATCTTTTTGTTTTCACCAGATATAAACAGCATAATCAATGTTGTATGTGCACTCCTCTTGTCCTATAAGCTAGAGACTTGTGTTATCCTATTTATAAATCATATTAAATTTTTCATATGAATATATAATTTTATATTCCATGTATCATTGTGTAAATTATATATTGTAATTTTCCAGTATAGAGTTATATAGTCATTCAATTTTAAGATTTAAATAGATTTAAAAGTTTTTTAATTGAAAGTAATTTATAAACAGTAGTTGTTTAAAGAAAATCATTAAACCATTGGCTTATGGGTATATGAAGGATGGATTAACCTTGAGTTACCATGCAACAGATGGGTCACTCCTGCTGCTCTCTCCCTGGCACAAGGGTCAACATTTTAATTTGGATTAATACAATTTTTTTTCTTCAAATCTACTTTCGGTTTTAATCTCTCAAATTTTAAATCATAAAACTTAAGTTTTGATTTCTCAATTTTTTTTTTCATTTATACCATTAATTCTTATAATCTAATAAAAATCTAAACTATTTTATTTCTTTAGAGATTAAAACTTATGATTTGAAATTCAAGAGACTAAAACTAAAATAAAAACAAACTTGAGCCAAATATTATATTAAACCTTTTAGTTTGATATAAATTTTATCAATATATATAGATATATGTAAAATAACAAATCACGTTAAAAAGCTACTAGACTCAATAGTACTTGAATAATACCTCATGATACTATATTTCAAATAATTGAATCAATAAAAATTCACTCAACTTTGGAATGATCTGTAAATTGCAGAGGATATTCTCCTGTATCATTAATATAAAACGAAGCATAAAGAACTGCACTATTGACCCGTAATGAAATAATACAACTCATCTTATACTCGCTACAAATATCCTCGCAATCACTAAAAGTCTTGAGCTAATTTGCCGTGAGAAGAACGGTCTAGCTGAATCATAGGTTTAAGCACGATGGTACTGTGTCCAAGAACCCCGACATCACTTTCACTATGCAAAATGGTTTCGTTTCAAGCATTAAAGAGGGGGAAAAGAAAAAACAAACAAACAAACGCTTCACTGAAACTCAGGAAGGAGGCATTTTTGAACGCACACGGAAGATAAAAAAACCTTAAAAATGACAGGCTCTCTCCCAATCTCTCTCCACATCAAAAGAAAAGCAAAGATAAATTGTGTACCAGACACTACTCAACTATAGGCCAAAATCGGAAATTGCTGGAGGATGGTTATTGTTTCCCGAATTAGAAGGTGCTCAAACCTCCATTTATATGAAAAGGTGGGGGACTAAATTCCCAAATAGCCATCTTATCCTTCTCTGATAATTAGAGAATAGAGAACTTTAAACTATTACTTGCTGCAAACAAGTTGTATTCCTCCATGGTGTTTGTCTCTTTCTTATTGCAAGGGTAATCGACTCGACTATTCAAGCTTAAATCCTCAACGGTTCCCCCGTTTGAAGATGCAGGAATCGATTTACAGCCATTTGAAAGAGCTATAGGCCCTCCAAAATGAAACAAGGAGAAACTACCGTTATTCGCTTGTGATTTGGCAGTACTTTCATGCCCAACTTCTCCACTCAGTGCCGTTTTTGATCCAGCTGGAACACCCCTTTCTGCAGTATTTCCATTGAGATTCTCTTGCATTGAAGCAGGTTTAGTAGCTTGAGACCGTTCCTCTGCATTTAAGCCTTTAACTTTGCTGAATTGCTGATAGACTGGAACAGCGGCAGCGCTGAAGAAAGGCATTGGTTGCTGCAAGGCGCCATACTGCAAGCAGAATTGACGGTCCTCATTTAAGCCATATCCAAGTGGGCTAGCGTATAGATAATGATTTGGATGTGGGAATGGCAGCAACCCACTTGTGGCAGCCGCTGGCCATGAAACTGGATTTTGATGGTAATAACCCATTGTTGAAGGAGCTTGGAACACTGGAAATTGTATGTTCTGGTTCGACCCTGGGGCAAGCATACTTTGAGGTTCAGAACACAGATTGCTGGCAGAATAACCTTTAATAAATTTGTCTCTCCCAGGATTCCCTGATATATCACTCCCTGCTCCATCTGAAAAGGGAACAAATAATGACCTGCTGGCCAAATCCTCTCTACTTGCATTGTAATCTTTCCCCAACCCAACTTCATGACAACCAGACAGACCATTCTCAATACCCGCAGAAATTTCTCTTCCTTCAGATTGTTGGCTAGCATCTTCCGAATCGGATGTGGTTGATGATTCTGTATTTCCACGATTTGAAGAGGTATTACTGTCACCCTCACTTAGGCACAATGAGCAGTTATCGGAATTGGACATGCTACCTTGACTCTGATCAGAAGAACCACTCAAGGTAGAACTTCTAGTTGGAATCATTCCACGTTCCTCACCAGCCAATTCTTTGGAATTGTAAGAAACTGCAACTTCCAGATGAAGTTCATTCTTAGATCCTTCATCCGCACCTTTGGACATCTTCAGATTACTATCATCATCATCAATGTCGACACCAACTTCACCATCAGATGACTTGATCAGGTTATTATCTGATTGAACTCCTTGAACCTTAGAAGGTGGGGACGTCAATGTCACATCAGTGTCTGAATTACTACGAAGATAATTCTTTTGTGATTCCATAGGCTCCCAAACTTTCTTCGAGTGAAACAACTCCCTACTTGGATAGTTCCCTGAGATGGCTCTGTTTTTGGGTCTCACAGAACACTCATGCACATGGTCTACTTGATTATACTTACTACCACGATAATTCTGCTTAGAAGTATTTATTGCAGACTCAGACTTACCAGCAGGTCTTATCTCGTGACTAACTTGAGTCATAGGAGAGTTTTGATCAACCCTCATTTTATACTTGTTATTTAGGTTACAACTGCAAGAATGGAAATCATATCTGTCAATATTCCGGTTATTGGGACTATGGAACTTCTCATTATACTTAATACCAACATTTCGACTATAGGACTTTGGAGGATTTATTCTAAATTGCCTGTTTGACCCATTATTTCTTCTGGATGATGTCACAAAACTATCTCCACAATGCCTTGGTTCTGATCTTCCTACCATTGATCCATTTTCCCAAACAACTGCACATCGGTTTCTGTCAAACCACTTGTGAGACAAATCTAATTGATGTTCTTTCCTAAATCTTAGCCTCTGCCGAGAAATATTGGATTGATCCGTCGTGAAAGTATCAGTCCCATCTTTTGGAGAGGTTATTTCTCCATCACATCTATCACTAGAGTGGTCTTGTGTTCTCAAAGTAGCACACTCAGTAGAGGGTTCATCATCTTGAATGTCAGGAGATCCATCCTCCAACAGATTAGCATCGCCCATTTCAATAAATGAATCCCTGCAGATATTAGCATTAGTTTGCTCCATATCAGCTGACAATTCTTCCTCTGGGGCTTCAGGAGATCCAGGAACATCATTTGATTCAGAACTTTTTCTTGATTTATCTTTTTCCTTTCCTTTAAGTCTTTCCTTCCTCCTAAGTTTTTTCTCTCTTTCTTTTGTCCGCCTCCTCTCCTTGCGTTGTTCCTCTTCACGCTTTTCCTTTTCTTCTTCTTCAAGAAGTTTCATCTGCAGGGGCAAAAAACTGCGTTAGAAAGTGATCACATAAGATAAGTTAGCACTCTGCCTCTTCATTTTGTCCCAATCATTCTTTTCCTAGAAGCACAAAAGGGAAGACCTGCTTTTCTAATGTAATGATCTCTTTGCACGCTACATAGACACGTTCCTCCAGTAGTTTTAACGCAAGACAGACAAAGATGCCGTGTGCATTCTGGCTTGCTGTTCCTTCTCTGAAAGCCTTTTCAACCTAAAAGAATAGGACAAAGTCAGCAGTTGAAACGGCAGATAGGTTCACATGTGCGCACTGACAAGACCGCAGCAACAGATCCAATAGAACATTAAAGAAAATTATTTTTTGATCATTGCTTACTAATCAAAGCATGTTCCAAATTTTGAACACATGATTTCACCATTCACAATTTTCTCACAAGCATTCCTCCAAAAAGCACAAAAAAATATGGATAAAGTTAAATACTCTGGCTTTCACAAGTTCTTGTTTCGACCACCATCAAATCCAATAGCCTATGTACGATCTATTCTTTGTACTTAAATACCATTTAATTATCTTCAAATTACATTTACGTAGATTGTACTAAAGTTATTCTGATCTTCAAGTCCAAGTGAAATACCATTTTAAATTAATCAGAACACACAGAATCCTCTAATCTTGAATTAGAATGGAGTTAACTGCATAGTGGATTACCTGGTAATTCCCCTCTTGCTGATGGCTTGCTGTAACACTCAAACCATTTCCAGAACACCAGGCTCTACTATTACAACCTCTCCCACTTACATATTGTGATTGTGCAATATAAATTTTACAAAGGGATCTAATTTATTAAATTCAACGATTACATAACTAACTTTGACACTCTATAAGTGGGTAACTTCAGATCAATTAACATTTTATCTTCATTACATCTAACTAACAAACCCAATCATCCAAGACTTAAATTGCATGAACTAAAATTTCAGTGCACCAAAAGGAAGATGATAACGTATCATAGGTAAAAGTTACCATTCCTAATGCTAACCAAAAGCCAAAACCGATTTCCATTACCTTAACATAATAAAAAAAAACCAACAGATATTTGATAATACCAATTTACCCCCCCGGGGGGTCTTTAGATAATTTTTAAAGATACCTCACATGATAATGTATAAAGATGCATGGAAAGGAAGCAAGGAGATTGACTAAGATGTACAAACACGATGCGAAATCTAAACATACTTGTTCTTTAAATATAACAGTAGCAGCATCAAGAAGGAATTCTCGAGCAAGTTCGGGGCTTTTTGCATGTTTCTGAGGAAGGGAACATTCTCCATCAAGCTCATTTCCATCCTTGTCCATTGACTCATCATCCTAAAAGCACACATTTGCATGATAAGAGAAGAAATTTAATTTAACAATATTCCTCAAAGATGGTTGTTCAATTACATTAATTATGAACATGACCAAGAAAATTGATATCTTTCCTGGAACTTGAAGTACCTCTTCTTCCTCTGCCTCTTCAGCATGCTCAAAGAATCTTCTAATACTTTCACCTTTTGTAATAGTAACCCAACCATCCCCTACAATTAGCCTGCAATGTACACAATGTTGACCCTTTAATGCATGAGCTTTGACAGAATGTTCAGTACAACGTCCATCAAGTTTCCAAGCTCGGAGGGTGATGAAACATGCACTCAAACCACTAAGATTGAGTCCATTGGCTTGAACAGATCCATTCATTCCAACATTTTTAAAATCCAAAATGTCAGATTTTCCTTCACTTGTCCCAACAGCCCACTCAAAGTGATGATACAATCCCATGGTATCTGCAAATGTGTGGCGCCAATCAGCTTGGATTGAATCATCAGAAACCTGATAAAAGCAAATAGATCTATGTTATATTAGAGACAATAACCACTCTAGCAACTAGTCCTGAGTCCTGACATAGACTCGATAAAAGAAGACTTTCCAGAAGAATGTCACTATAAACTTTTTGAGCACAGCCTCGATCACAAAATATTTCACGGCATAGAAACATGGAAGTCGCACCTCATACTGAAAGGCCGTGTCAGCAACACAAAACCAACTGGTGCAACGAGGTTCTCTACGCATGCGCTTCAGTTCTTTTAGCTCTTTGAACTCACGAATAACATTTCTTCTACAATCTCTGCAAAATCTCTTGCTATCAAACCTGACAGATAGAGGGAAGCTCTTTAGTAAAACCAGAAGAATGGGATAAAAAATCTCAACAAAAAAACAAACATTTAAACAAGTTCATAAGCGAGGACATGACTAATATTAAGCAAAAGAAAGGATTTCAGATAATGACAAAATAAACTAATTCATGCTATAAATCAAGTTGTAAAAGAAAAAGGAAAAAAAAGAAGTCGTCAAAATTTTAGAGTAAAAAGCAAGGAGCATAAAGCTTCGCTCAGTATCTATCCTTTACTGACCGGTCATAGAACACATCAAAACAGACAATAAGTTAATTCATGTTGCATGACAATGATTCGCTTACAAACTTGTAATTTTTCATCTAATTGTCTGCGTCTAAGTTCACATATAACCGCTGTTATCCAATTACCAAGACCATCCAAGGTGTCACAAACGAAGAGTGTCAAGTGACAGTCTGAATCACCCTGCTTCTCCATTCCTCAACGTCACACTTAACTCTTAACATGAAACCATTTTGGGCAACACTTTATATCAAGCAATACCTAAACAACTCCAAGCAAGAATTAGGATAAAACCTTAAAAACTCAGATGGGCTTGGACAAGGCATGTGAGTTAACAAATCCAGCCTGTGGCTGCTCCCAGGGTAAGTGAGCCGCAGTGCCATATGTAAGCAGATAGAATAAATGCACATTCGGAAGAGATTAACTGAAGACAGTGTGTCAGTGAGAGAGACATCTAATTGACCACTCAATGCAGCTTCCTGTTTACATTCTACCTTTGACATTGTTTTAATGGTTCTCCTTAAACTTCTTCAATCAAAATCCATTCATCCGCCTGATTATGTAACTGAGGCAAACTAATCCATTAATGGAGCATTACATAGCTCAATCTGATCTGAAGCATGATGCTATTCAAATTTTTAACTTCATGCCTATCAGAGGGTTCCCCATTCAACTTTTTACTATCAAGCCAGAAGAACATCTGTCCTATAATCTGACAGATAGCTAGTCCATTACAAATTACCTGCATGTGAATGTTAAGGAATATCATACATCCAACACCTTTATTAGGGGCACAAAATAGAAAAATTGGATTCCAAAGAACACATCCATATTCAAGATATTTAAGTCTTCAAGTGCGTCTCAAATTTTCACTCATTGCATGCCAGTTTCAAGAGCTTAACTGCTCCAGGTCTTGCATTTATCTTAACATAGCAGTCATAACATGTCACTTATTAAAGTCAGATGCAATATGAGAAATACACACTAGTAGATGGACACCTGTATGCAAGTCTCTCAATGAAATCTTCTTCTTTCATCCTTAGTAGAGATTGCCGAGTCTCCTCTCCCAGTTCTGACCAAAAATCCACCAATGTATCACATGAAAGTCTGGCAGTGTGCAGAGCACATGTTTCCCTTGTCCCATGCCCTCTGCCGTAACTCACAATTCCTTGGCTTATCCAGCCACGGCCTCCCCCACCACAGGCATCAGGATAAAGTAGTTCTCTCTCACGCTCCCTTGCACGTGCCCCATCAAAGACCTGGCAAGAGCAAAAGTTAAGCTGCCACCAAAAAAAGAGAGAGAGAGAGAGAAAAGAGTTGAATGAGAATCAACACAAGTGTCAAGTGAACCGTGCTTACAATTTGCAGTCCCTTCAGAGACTTCGAATTCAAGTAGCAATTCATAAGCGTCAGCAAACCATCACGAGTCGTTGTCAAACCTCCCCAAGGAAGGACAGATGGATCTTGAAATTCATCTTGGTGCCCACTTATACTGTTCGATCCACTATTATGTTGATTTTTCACACCTGGAGATCCATTCCAAGGAAAGTGTGCCCTGGCTCCCTCCTGCTGCAGAGATTTCCCATACATAACAATCTGCGAAAAACCTTCGAGCAGCAACCCATTACACCGGGAGCAGTACATGTTCTTCCGAGCTTGCTCAAAAAGGGTTTGCTTGTCTATCTTCAAGAGCTGCTGCCGATCTTGTGATGACAGCTCACTCCAGAACTGTGCCACAAGAGTCATAAAATACACATAAGAGACAAATTAAGAAGGTTACTAGTTGCGATCTTATCTATAAAACAAGGAAACATATGTGATGGATTTTCAAGCCAATATTCAAATCTCTTACTTAAATATCAGTTTCAGTTAATTCTTTCTTTTCCTTCCCCTTCATGCCACAAGTTTAGTTAGCTCCTTACAAGCATTGACACCTCATTGTCTCAACCGGAATTACATCAGGATTTGTTAAAGTTCGTAAAATTGTTGCACATTAGACGAGGAGAAATTAGAATAAAAAATTTGACGATTTTGAAATGACCAACATCAGTTTCTTATTACCTTTACCCAGCATGGATGAAAAGATAAACAAGACTAAAATGCATCCAACGTAAGAGAATGAAGCAGAATGGAAATGGCAAGCAGTTATGCTATATAATTCCTTATGAAACAAATGAATGCAATCAAAGAAAGGTTTCAACTGCAAGATCCAATACAAGGTCAAACAGCTCATCGATATCCACATATAAACACATACAGGACAGTGATCTAGCGCCATCGCAATTTGATCAAAAAACAATTAATCTCTACCTTGGAGAGATGATTGTAGCTAACGTCGTCACGGTTCTTAGACCAAAATCCATTGGCTGAAAGCGAGTACACCACCGATGATTTATCACTAAATCGGTCGTTTGTTTGCGCTAATCCTGGCATTTTTTAAATTCTGGAAGAATCATTCACCGATGCTTCCATGCACTCACCCCTCAATTCCAGCGCATATAAGGCCTAACAAGGATCTAATTTAATTGATATTCCGAAATTTATCTGAATCGGATACAAATCAAGAGTATAAAATAATGAACAAATAAAAGAATAGTACACAGACCGAAAAAGGTTTGAGGTAGGATCGAAATGGTTGAGATTGGATGGGAATAGGATTGGAGTTGGGTTGAGAAAGGGAGAGCGAGCGAAGTGAGAATTGAGAGAGATTTAGGGGGAGAAATCGGATGGAGGGAGGGGTTTTTGGTTGATGAAGAAGATGAGATTTGTTGGTGCGTTGTATATGTGGGAAGCGAGGTGGGGAGAGAAGCAGGATTGGCAATGGTCGCACAACGAGGCACGGTGAAAATGGAGGCCCAGTCTGTGCCCTCTGCTGTTACTCACAGCACAATTCACATAATTAACGTGGTGATAACTAAATCTGAGAGAAATTTATTTTATTTTCTTTAAAAAATTTGACCATTATCTCCCATTTGACTAAATATCATATCGTGTGTGTATGATGATGATAGCCAGTCCCTCTTTTAAATGTCTCGTTTATAATGTTTTTTATACCCCGGAAAAATGATTTAGAATATGAACTCTTGTAGAAACTTAAATATACGAAGGACCAGTATTACGAGAGACATGTTTTTGATGAGTTCATTGTTGTTAAGGACATGAATATGACTTATTAAATGATGAAAAATGTATTATATCACTCATCACCATTAAGAAGGGGGGAAAATCGTGAGAATGATTTTATTTTATTTTTTTTTGGTTTTTGGCCTTTTTTTGGGACAGGAGGGAATGGGGAGATGAATAAAAAGTTCCCCGTTTCACCATGTAAAGGCCAGGCATCACCATTAATAACACATAAGATAATATAATTAATAAATAATTAATATGTGTATATATATTTATAAGATATAAGATTAATATGTTTATAACAAATTAATTGAGGGATATTAAAGTCATATTATTATTGAGATCTACTCTGACAGACACAATCATACTCTCCAATTTGATCCAGAAGCAAAATGGATTCACTTCTCCTGAATCCATGGTTTTGGGTTCCAAAACCATAGTTTTGACCCAAACCATGATTTCAATTATAATATCAAAATTGATGCTGTTTAGGCGATATTCCACCTAAACCATGGTTTTGGAAATCACCCAAATAGGCCCTGAATTGAAATTATCTATAGGTGAGGTTAATTGATAAATGAATTAATAAATTTACAAGCCACTGGAAGAACTCATAGATTCACAACTTTTTGTTGCCAACCACAACTTTATATTTTGGTACATAATATAACACACAAAATTGATTGTGCTGGTTTTTTTATTGCAGTTCAAACTTTTGCCTTCTAATAAGAATCATGTTTCGCATGTATTGGAATATTTGCGAATTTATAATTAATCACGCACTCAGTTATCGAGTTCTAAAAAGAAATAGTACCAATCTGAGCTCTCTCTGTTCTTTTTTTTGGTCAAACAACCTGGGCTTTTGATTGATAAACAAATAGTGACTATTTAACATTGTCGCCTGCCAGTAAATACTTGGCAACACGGAAATTCACAGTCTTAAAGTGATTTTTTCAAAACAAACAAACGCCCTCTAAATCACATAACAAGACCCCCAAAAAAAATTAAAAAATTCTATTAAGCATGTTTAGAAATATGAAAGCCATACGAATCAAGCGCGTTATCATGTCTATTAGAAGAATTATAATAAGGTTTTCAGGAAGAAAAACAATTATAAAATAGTTGTCATTCTTTACTCTAAAACTTGTCATTACACACTGCTTATATTATTATTGGGACCTCTTAGTAATTTTTTTTTGGACTTGATTGTAATTCTCTCGTCTTTATTTAAGCTAATTAGAACAACCACGAATCTCTCAAATTTAAATATGCTGTATTATTCACAAAAAATATATGACTTAATTAAAACGATGCATTCTTCAACTAAATTTTTGACCAAAAATACTCATATTAATTGGGCTAGCGTTCATTGTTAAGGAATAATAAAAATGATATTGGCATTAATTAAGGATATATTTGAAATAATTTATAAATAACTCTTTAATCATGATTTACATATAAAATAAATATATAAAAAAATTTTGTCTCAATCTATATGAAATATAAAACATTTGTTATTGCGATAACAAACGGGGCATAAATATGCCCTAATTGGAGTGGTAGGATCTCCAAGCTCAATATTAGGCTAGCTATGTAAGGAATAATAAAAATGATATTGGCATTAATTAAGGATATATTTGAAATAATTTATAAATAACTCTTTAATCATGATTTACATAATATAAAATAAATATATAAAAAATTTTGTCTCAATCTATATGAAATATAAAACATGTTTGTTATTGCGATAACAAACGGGGCATAAATATGCCCTAATTGGAGTGGTAGGATCTCCAAGCTCAATATTAGGCCGGACTATGCTAGTATAGATCCCAGAAGCTACGACCGATGGTGGTGGTCCTTCTCCAACCTCGGCTATCCATGCTCCATGTGTCTTTTTTTGGTTGCTCAGAGTATCCTCCCACCCGAACGGTGAGAGACTAATCTCTCGGAGTACTGTCAGGGTGCCGTAACGGGGACCCCTCCCAACAGTGTTTATTCCATACACACTACCCAAGGATCGAACCCAGGACATGTGTTTAAGGTGCCCAAGTCCCTTCCACTTGGACCAACACTTGTTGGTTCTCCATGTGTCTTAATCTCATGCTGCATATCTAAATCATTCTCATCACTTTCCCTTCTCTTCTTCAATGTCCACCCATTTCTGTCAAGACAATCTATTCTTTATAGTTTTGACTTATGAGCACTATATAAATATTATTACCTCCTGTTCTAATTATAAAACTTAATTAATTAATTTGAAAAAATTAAAAAAAGAAGTTAGTTAAGTTAGTATTTATATATATAATATGTATTATCTTTAAAATATCTTTACTAATCAACTATATTGGCTAGAACTACAATTATTAGAATGACTACCTTGAAAAAAATACATAAATATAAGAGTCAAAGTGGATTTGGTCTTATATTTAGAACCAAAATAAAAGTCAAATAAAGTGACCGGAGGTAGTATTTGTTATCAATATAACGTTTATGTGAGCGTTAATATATCTCTCATTTCAATTTAAACTTCTCAAAAGGAAAAACGCAACTCCTGCAATTCTTATAATTTACTTCCTCTTTACATTCATGAAATTTATAACTTCTTGATATTTTATTGGTAAAGAGTAAGATGAGTTAAAAATAATTACTGTTTTCTTGAAATTCTCTAGCGTTTTTTTTTTTGAAAGAAAAAGAGTACTTCCCAAACGCCAAAAAAGACGGAGTTTTTTTTTTCCCAGATCTTTTCCTGATAAACTGATCTCCTATTAGCAAAACAGAGGACATGTTTTAGAAATGTCCATCATCTACTCTTTTCACTAAAAATAATTTAATTATAAATATTGTTTTATTGGATTTATGCTGTGCTTGTTGATTATGGTATGTATATCTTGAAAAATATAACATTTTTAGCATAAAACAATGTTTCGGGCTCGAAAGAAAGGCTGTAATCATGGTTGTTTTGTTTGGTAAAAGTAAAAACATAATTGCCACATCATAATCTCCACAAAGCATTCAGGGCGTTTTTTTAATCAGGAAGATTTGAAAGAAAAATAATAAAGAGAGAGGAGGAAAAAACTTTCAACACCGAATAGGATGTGTATTGTGTAAAACAATAAAAGATTTAAATCTTAATATGTTGATTTTAAAACTTTTTTTTTTTAATTCGTGGTCATAGACTCAGAGTTGGCAAAGATTAATAATAGTATATCTCTGAGCTATTATATATCACAAACAATTTTAATTCAAATAATCATTATGTATATCTTGTGAGATCAGGGGTATTTTCAGTCAAAATCAGAATTAACTTCTTCTAGTTACTTGCTTTACAGATGAAAGCTCATACTAATTAGTTAATCTAACCTAGGTTCACAATTGGGATCTTATAATTAAAATAGGAGATAGCAGTCAAAACAAAAAATAGTGTACTGGGTTAGATAAACTAACTAGTACGAGTGACAGGAGACGAGAGGGAAAATTACAAACGTGAGCTTCCATGTACTCAAGTATGATGGGAGGCATGGGTTGGGTTAGGACATGAGAACAAAGGATAAGTTCTCCAATTTGTACGTCTCACAAAGATCTCAAGAAAAATTTAGATGATAAGCATGATAATAAGTTTAAATCTTTATTGATAGAAAATTAAATTGAAAAAATATCTCTACTTGGGCACAATAATATGATACTATTTCGATACTAAGAATTAATTGACTAATTTGAATATATTAAAAAAATTAGTTAAGTTAATAATTTGAAATAAATAGATATTGTTTTTTTCAAAATTTTCTTGCTAATCAAATGTATGAGTTAAAACTACTATTTGATGAAAAATTTATCATGTCCAACTACTAGAAGAATTATCTTGAAAAAATAAATAAAAATAAAAGATAAAATGGATTGTAGTTTTATATTTAGAATCAAGTTGAAAATCAAATTAGCTCTATATTAACAAATTAAACAAATTAGCTCCTCTATTAACAAATCTAATTCAATAATGCTAGATATAAAATATCAAAGCTGTTGTATAAAAATCTTTAAGAAAAATCCAGCGCCCAAATTTTCTACAGAATTCACACACTGAGGTGAAATTAAGCTGTCAAAGACAGGCACATGGGCGACTAGTGGAAGTGAAGGTCACTCATAAAGAAAGGTCAGAAAGGTCACAATACAATCTATCCATCACCTTGGATACTCATTGGAGCCGAGTCGGGGGCAAAATCATAAACCCAAAAACCAAGAAGAAACATTCTGCTGGCCACTAAACTGGATTAACTCCTGGCATCTCCAAATAAAACTTGTAACAGGCCAAAATTACAGGTCTGGTCCATACATCATGCACACAATATATACATATGTTCCCATCCCAACAAAAGAGGAGGTGAAGCAGAGTGAACATCATGATGCTTTGCTGATAAAAATCTAAAACAACGAAATAGGATCAGAAACAGAACATGATCATGGTGACTCAGATTAGTGTTTTAAGCGCTTGGTTCTGGGCCAGCTGGTTTTGCATTCAGAAGTGGCTGCAAAGCTTTCACCACAATGGTCATGTTGGGCCGGAAGTCAGCCTCATACTGAACACACAATGCTGCCACCGCCGCCAGCTGTAGCATTAACCGCCGTCAACGATACCTCCAACTAAGTTTGTTGGCTGCAGACTGATAAAGATTAAGAGGAAGAATAAAGGAGAGTGTACCTTAGCAATTGCCTTTGGCGGGTACTCATTGTTGAGTTTGGGATCCACACACTGTTTCACTTTGTCCTCGCTCAGCCTTGGAGTTGCCTGTAACAGAAATTAGAACACATATTAGTAGAAGATCAGAGTGAACATGGTGGGCCTTGGAAAGGAAGACTGCATGACATACCCAAGTCACAAGACTTTGTTGGCCTTTGGGCATTGTGTGGTCTACTGGTTTTCTTCCTGTCAAGAGTTCTAAGAGAACTACTCCGAAACTGTAAACGTCGCTTTTTTGGGTTATCTGCCCTGTCATGGCATACCTGAGTATGAAAGCAAGCGTTTTCAGATACAAACTCAGAGTACACTGACTTGAAATAATGAGGAAGGGAGAAGAATTGATCATGAAAGGCATTATATACTCTGGAGCATGATAGCCAAATGTTCCCAAGACTCTAGTTGAATGCAGGCGAGCTGCTGTGTCAGAACCCTGGCTGGTCAAGCTGAAATCCGCAATCTTGGCATCATAGTCACCGAACAGTAAGACATTGCTGGACCTAATATCACGGTGGACTATGGAAGGTTGAACCTTTTCATGAAGAAACTCGAGGCCTTTTGCTGCCCCAAATGCGATCTTTGCTCTTTGGTTCCAGCTCAGAACTGGACCTGGTTCGGCCCCTTGTACACCTTTTCTTCCTGCACCCACCGAAAGCCTTGAATAATTAAGCACTTCTTAAAAACACGCCTTTTTTCCCTCGTAGAAAAGTTGGTTGCATGTGTAGCTAGCCTACCATGTAATACATCGTGCAAAGAACCCAAACTTGCATGTTGATAAACCAAAATTCTGTTACTTGACTCCAAACAATACCCAATCAACGCCACAAAGTGATCGTGCTTCAGTCTTGAAACGACAGATAGCTGCATGGTGCACACGGTAGCATATATAATGCAAAGTTGTGTCTTTAATCTAAAACTCCCATTTTAAAGAGATGAATACAGCCATTCACGTCTTAGCCTCACCTGAGCGGCAAAATCGGCATCTTCTTCTGGTGTAGAAGAACCACTGGTATCCAGCTTCTTGATCGCTGCATCCTGACCATCGCTTAACTTGGCATAAAAGACTCGTCCGTACGAACCTTCTCCAATCAAAGCGCTCGAGCCAAAGTTGCCCGTTAACCTATTTAACTCCTCCAATGGTATTGCAGGGGTCTCAATTGGCAATACTTTTTGGGGAGCGCCAGCCTTCACAACATTGCTTTTTGGCTCTCCTCTGTCACCCCCTGTAAATATTTCGACTACGTCATTGATCTGCTTTATATTTAATTACGAGACTAAACCTCAGTTATCGTAATTCTCAGTCGAATATATGGTTTTAGTGACAAAACAAACAAAGAAACAACCAAATAATCAGAAGGGAGAAACGCATGCATATTATTCAACGATGGTTGTTGCGGGATTAGTGAAAACCAACGTTGAAAATATGCTAGTAAAGACGTTACCTTCTCCATACGCATTACCACCTCTGAGTGGTGCAGGGTTTTGGTTTGCAGTTGGGCCGCTGCTCTCTTCCTCTGTACCTCCGCAGCACAACATACTTCAAACTAGTATCGTAGCAGCAGCAGCCTCAGCAACCCATTAATTAGAGGAAATTATATCAAATGATTTACCTGCAAGAATTTCGTGCCTCAACAATTTTCAACCTCTTGGGTTAATAAAACAAAAGCATAGATACGAGACCGAAGCTTCCATTTACTATTCAAATCGAATCATCAAGAGAAGAATATCCCTCACACGTAAAACTGGAGAAGACTTAAATCTGTCGTGGGTTGCCGAAGAATTTCTGTCGTAAAAAAAAAAATCTCACGAGGCGCACTTCTGCGATATTTTTAGTTTTTAGTTTTTTTTTTTTTTGGAAGAAGTTGATTAAATCCCCCGGAAAAGAAGAGAAAAGCACGAAGACGAATGATAAAGAAACAAGCACGTTAAAGAATAAAAAAGCCTTGTCGGCTTATGAAAATGCAGACCTCTAAGGAGTTGCTGCTGAACCCAGAAAGCTAAATAATGGATGGAGGAAAGGAGGATGAGAAAGTGGAAAATGACGAAGCAATAATGAATGGGAAGGAAGGGAATGCAGGGGGAAGAAGAAGGGAGTTTTTATTAGAATGAACAAAACCCCCTGAAAGAAAGCTCCGGAAGGGAAGAAAGGCACAACTTTCTGTATTAGGCGTGAAGGTCGCGAAAGTGGTGAAGAGATGAACCGCAGAAACCACATATCTGTCCCAACCTTCCGGGGCTGGACGTGCCCCCACGATGCACGTCCTTCGCTTGTTACTCTTACTATTTTAACCCATTTCTTATCTTTTTCTTCATTCTCCGTCATTTCGTCAAACCACGCCGACCCACGTTCTTTCCTCCATATCAAATGCCCACACACACACACACCTCCCTCCACTTACGGTTCTCCTTCGAAAAGTGAATTGCTCCGTCCGTCCGTCCTTCAAATGTCAATAGCAGTCAGACCAACAAACTTGTCTCTGTCTAAATTTTTCCCTTGTCAAATCTGTTACTGATTAAATAGATATACTTTTCAAAAAAAATATATCATTTACTAAACATGGGATATCATAAAAATTTGAACCTCGTATTACTCTCTCCGTTACTTTTTATAACAAAGAAATAATCAAATTATCAAGAGTGAGAGATATGATTAAAATTAGTTAAACATTAAATTAGTTAAACATTTTAAATGTGCAACAAACTTAAAATTCTTTTTAAAAAACTCATATTAAATGTTCAACATAATAACCTATTAATTACACTAACTTAACCATTCCATATAATTAGTAGGGGCATAATGAGAATAATACAATAAATAAAACAGACAATGGTTTAATGTTTTCTTATTTAAGGGGGAAAAAAAACTCCCATTTGCTTGTTATAGAAGGGAATGAATGAAGCATATTTAGGGACGGAGGGAGCACCCCTATTTTTTTTCTGTTAAATTTATTTCCCTTCAAAGGGAATCACGAGAAGCGTAGTTAAATTAAATCCGAAATTTTAAAGCTAGACATGGGGGTAAATAAAGCTTCATTTTCTGCTAGAGGGGCTAAATAACAAGATCATCGTTTGTGGCTCTGTACACTCACAGAGACATACAAAATAATTTACATTTGTGAATCTTCTTTCCATATACGCCCAGTAATCCTCAACTTCAGCTCCTGTCCATCCCCACCAGAAAAACAGAGGGCCAGCCGCCTTTGAATAATAAGCCCGTCTTGACTGTCGCGAACTCTCCTATGACTGTCCCGTATGCTCCTCGGAATTCCTTGCCATATCAGCCTGCGGCCATTAGCACCAACTTCCAAGCTATAGCTAAACTTCTTTGCCTCATCATCATCACCCATGAATCGTAAAAAAGCCATATAAACTGGAGCTGTGCCAATCTGAAAAGCCTCAAAGTGCAAGCAGAAATGTCTTCCAAAGCAACTGAAAACCTGCAGAGGAGATTTCAAGATGTAAGCAGAGAGCCTACAATATGAAAGGATTAGTAGAATTTGGCTTCAAAAGGACATCATGTGACGAATGGTTGAACAATTCTTCAAACAAACCATATATGGCACAAGACATATAATGACTCACAGTTAGCATCCATGTTGCATTTTCAACTTCATGAGGGTTTGATTTGACATATCGATGGTTGAATGTACATCCATCATGCATGTCAACATTATGATCGTCCTTGAGATGGCTGACAAGAGTGGGAATATTGCCCACCACAGAGCACTCAGATCCAGCGTAGGGGCAACCATATGGACGAAATCTACAATTTTGCTCGTGCTTAAGCTTGGTATAGCAGGCAAATATATCATGACAACCTAAACTCTGATATCTGCAAGGAAGTTCCAATGACTCAGCCACCTTCTCCAGGGCTAAACATCTTATGTTTCCTAGATCAAAGTGACAAGTCGGACAGCGGTTATGCACTCTAGTCTTACAGTTTGAACATAAAGTGTGGCCATTTGGGCACTGCAACAAACAATTCATCCGTTACGGAAAAGATTAGAAGAATATAAACAGAACATATTTCACAGTAACATGTCAAAGAAGAAAACAAGCGTTTCCCTTGGTTTTGATATATTACATCCTTTATAGTAAATGGAAGGAAGAATACAAGGAACAGATACAGAGGAATTCAGATTCTTTAGCATCATTGGTTGTTTGTACCAATCCAATTCTTCTTTGATAACAATACTGAAATAGCAGCTGCTAAAGTCCAAAGAACAACTCAGTTTTCTGTTTCTTTAACGGTTCTTATCCAACTTGTTCGTTGACTTAGAAACCTCTTTGAAGAATCACTCTCTTTGGAATAATTGACACAACTATGCATAGGATTTCAACTAACAATTAAGCATACAATTTCAGAATCTAAAACTTGAATAACCAACCAGTCTTTTGCAAGGTATACACAACATCATAACCAACAAAGTCGCAATATTGCTCCGCAATATTCATTTATGTAATGAGGAAAATTAACAGGAGATGGAGAAAATTTTTCTCTAAGTTAGAATGTCACCAGGTAACCCAATAAATTAGTGAAGTAATGAGCATAACATGATAGCGAATCAAAACTCCCCAAAGATCCAAGACGTCAATCAAAGTTGTTCACCCTACTCACAACGACTCTCCATTCATTATGCCATTCAGTTTGCAGCAGAGACAGACTAGATTATGCAAATGAAGTTACCCTATGTGGAATATGAGAATTAAAAATAACAATTACACTTTCATCATGTTTATATGTACAACGGGCTTGCATGATATGTTAAAAAGAAGGGGTACCAGCATGAAAATTCAAGTACTTCACCTGGTAAATTGGGGGATACATCAAATTCCTGCAACTAGGGCACTGAAGTAAGTCATGAACACCATTCTTCGAATTATTTCCATGTCTTCCACCAAAGTCAGCATTAGACTTTGTAAGAGGACTATTACTTTTAGCATTGTGTTTGGACTTGGCCATGTCATAGTCTGAACTTGTCAGATGAGATTGAAATTCTTTGCAAGCATTGACTCCAGGAGCCATTTTTGATCCAGGCCTGACAGTATTTCTCTCAAAATGACTCGAACCCAAAAGTCTGCTTTAGTCTAGTCTGATCTGCTTTGAGTTTCCTAAAAGCGTGGTATATCTGTCATGACTCACAAATAAAATGGTCAGCGCATAAAAAATTGATAAGCAGTAGTCCAGTGCTGTATTCAAAATTTCATATTTAATTAATAATCTAGGAAAACAAGGTGTGCAAGTGCAACAACTGGGAAGACTCTCAAGACAATACTTCTTTTTCAGCCATGTTTATTACCTTACAGATTTTGCCCTCAAGAATTTCAACATGGTGACCCAACCAACTTGCATTCTTAGACAAAAGGACTAAGACCAACTTCTTATTTGACTTCTTGAGTGTTTCTAGTCCACATTAATGCAACCTCTAATTTCTGTTCGAAAATCACAAGCATTACAACAAAATCATAATCTTTTTCTGCATTTATCTGGGGGTATTATATGTTTTAGCTGACAGATTACATGCAATTCTATGGGCTAAACTGCTATCAAATTGCAGAGATTACTGGTTTCAATGCTTAAGCTTCAATATGGATGAGAGAGTTAATAAGACCAACGAAACAAAAATTGATGCTCCCTAAGGAATAACAGTGCACACTCACGAATAGTGTAGGAAACCAAGGACAACCCGAGATCAATTTGATGTTCCCCAATAAAGCATTCATCGCCCTGATAAAGGGAGGTGAAGAAGAAGAAGAGAAAGCAAACAACTCCAACTTCGCATAGCAACAAAGCAATGCCAGTGCAACCAAAGGTAAATGTTCATAGAATTAAGCTATGCTTGAAATTACTCACTCATTTCTGCGAATTCTTTTCTCCCATTTTAATTAAAGTAGACATCACAATGATGCGAACGAGGGAGAAATTTTCAGGAAGAAAACAATAACTTTGAGATTCAATCAAGCAACATGGTTCCGAACGGCTTTGCCATGAAACTATCTTTCCCAGCTCGACCCATGAAATAAAAAACTGTAGCAGATAAGGAAAAGCAAGGGAGAATTGTTTTAAAACGGAAAACATCCGCCCTTTGACCAATTCATGATCTGCAACACTGACAATCTCCAATATTAAGTCACGCCCATATATCGAAACACAGTGCAATGAAATCCGGCACATGACAGGCAAAATGAAGACAAATTCCGACACAAGCACCAAAACCATTACCCATCAGAAGAAAAAACAAAAGCAGAAGATATGAACAGAAATAAGAACAAAAAAAAACATAAATACCTAGTTGAGAATCTCGAGCCCGCTAGGTCTGCATCCCAAGCAAAAGAAAACTATAAAACCTGGGTTCTGCTCGAAGATATGAAAGGGGCCAAAGGGGCAAACAAAATCAAAGAAAAAGGCGAGAAAATTTTCGTACCAAGAGCTCCGGAAGTTGCGCAGAATAGCCCCGCTATGGAGATCGAAGTAAAGAGGTTTTTTGTCGGTATCGGTGCTGCCAGCCGAATCAGCAACGCTCATCGTTGTCCCTCGGGCCCTGTTCTCGTTTGAGATTTTGAAAACTAGGAATATTGTTACCTTTGTCCGTCGACCCTCCCGATTCGTTGCCACCGGTGGAGCAGTGCCCCTTCCCGCACGCGACGTTTAAAAACCAAGCAGCTTTTTTATATGATTTCTCGTTTTTGTCTTGGCCGTTGACATTAATTTCTTTTGCGTTGGTATCTGCTCCCCAAAAATTCCTTCCCGTGATTTTGCAATCAGAATCCATAGGAGAAATTAGTAACCATCGTCTTATATTTCTTCCGCTCTTTTTGACCTGTTTCGAAAATAATCATGTATCACCATATTTGTAATCAAATTAATTTAACTCCGGTTTTATTCAAGACAGAATAGAAACTGGCCAGCTAATCAGGCAAACAAAATTTTCTTTTGGCCGGCTAGTCAGGCAAATAAAACTAAACAGTGCAACTTGATAAGATCTTATAAAAAAACAACCTTAGGTTATTTTCCCGTGAAAAAAACACACACAGTACTTGTTTGACATTACTTGTATAAGTATTTAAGTATTTAATAAACATATTTTATATCAATCAAGATAAAATTCTTTTTATATATTTACCCTGTATTCTATAAATTATGATTAAAAAATTACTTATAAACTATTCTAAATTAGCTTATACATAACCTCGCTTTTGATGCTTCAAATTACCACGATACTGATAAATTATGGTAGTTATAGTAGTTTGTTCCTGAAAACAACGTAAAATGGCTGTGTTGATCATGGTAATTTTTGTTTCAATAAAAGGTTCTTTTTCATTGCTGAATTATTATTGGAATTTAAATGAATACACATACAAGTGGGGTAAAAGTAAAGTTGGATGTTGCTCAGAAAACTAGGCAACCCCACTTGCATGTACCTCCAATTAGGGGAGAGTAACGAGCAGGTTGAGCTTCCCGGCCTTTAACCCATGATCCCCTGTTTTAGTCCGTACTCACAAATGTCCTGTTAACAGGCGAGTTTAAACGGGCGGGTTTTGGAGAACCTGTTTAATATAGAAAATTTTAAAACCTTTTAAATTTTAAGATATTAAAATATTATCTTATATTCTCATTCTTGCTAAATCTGTTTAGCTTAAATACAATAAATAACAAATTAAAGCATCAATCAATCATAACATAATATGATAATAATCATAACCATTCAACAATCAAATTTCAAGCCAAGGTCTCATGTTCTTGAAATTAAAAGTTCAAACTTCAAACTTCAATCAAGTCATGAAATAGGATAACCTTCACTAATCAAAGTCCATACTCTATAACGACACTTTTTGCACTATGTCTCCCTCTCCTTTTAATTTCTTAACAAACAAAAAATAAATACTAAATGGGCAGGTACGGGTGGCCTGTGCCTATGCCCATAGCCTGCCTATTTATTATTGAGTCCCACTTGTTTATTTTATTTTTTTGGGCAAACTCAAACGGGCCCAATCTTTACGGATTGTTGACTGAGGGACCAGGTTTCAGATTACTTGCTCACCCCTACCTCCAACCCTGAGTGATCGTTTTTTATTCATTCCACCTTCACACGAAAACCGACATCTAGTGGCAAAGGTAACTTAGAGGGCCAAAACCACTGACCCACCAGCATCTAACATGCATATTCATAGAAACTTGACAATTCAATTCATAAAAACAACAATTGGGTTTTGTAAAAAAGACTAATATTTTATATCGTAATGAATTAATACTTAAATTTTCATTAAAAGAAATGCCTACATGTCTAACAATACTTTTGATAAGAGATGCCCGTAGGGGAAAAAACCACCTGCGTAAATACTCAAATACACGTATCCACACGTATAAGCACATGATTGGACCTATCACCTTTTTTTTAATAAAAAAAAATTTGCAAGCAGAAGATCCTTTATACTACTGAAACTAAGAAGAAGATGTTTTATGCTGCTGAAACTTAAGGGTTTTCAATATTCATATTTATTACTTGTGAGGGTTAGACATGACATCAGATAAAGAAAGTTGTCCTATTGGTAAAAATATTATCCATATTTTAAAAACTATTAGTTCAAATTTTAGTATGACGCGAGAATCTCATAGACGAGAACATTTGCCAGATGAAGATTGCGTTGATATAAAGAAAAGATGTTTAAATAAATAGAAAGCGACTGTATAATCCGCATAATACCATCGTAAACGTACAAGGCCAAACATTTGGGCCGGCTGAGGGTTTTCCTGCCCAAAGACGACGGTGGCTCCAGCTAGACCGGGCTTTCCATCATCCATTGTGAATTTCTAACTTCCAACCAAGTACCCTCCACAATTGCAATTTGCATTTTGCAATCTCCCATGTTTTTCCCCGTTATCAACTTGTTCCTGCGGTTTAGTACCAGCTCCAGTCAGAACCGCAGGTTGTTCTCATTCTCAACTTATTTTGATTCTTTCCATTTAAAGTTAAAACCTTTTGCTTTTCTGAAATTTGCTTTCATGCATATTTCTTCTGGTACCATTGACATATTCGATTATTCCTTCACGCTGCGAGACATTTTGACTTGCACTTTCTTCTACCCCTGATTCAAAACTACAACCAGAAGTCTGCTTGGTGGATCATTGATGGGATATTGCAATATGTTACTCTGATTAATGTGACGGATCTAGAGTAGCACACATGGGGGGCATATTTAAAAGCTACTTATATATGGGAGAGCTAAAATCAATTTTTCAAATTTTTTACAAACAAATTTTGAAACAAATGCTAAAGGAAGTTGAAAATCTGGGGTGCCTGTGCCGTTGGATCGGTCATTGTTCACGTGGGAATAATCCTCCGTCTTTCCTTCGTTTCATTAAATCTTTTTTCATGTTTCTCATAATGTCGTTTGACAGATTGTAGGTGATTTTTTCCAGGAAGAATGGAGGATTGTGTGAGTTTAGATGGTCATGGTGCTGTGCCCATTATTAAAAGTCGTGTGTGAAAATGTTTTTTCTACAAGGAGATCGCTCATAGAGGGCCCGGGGGGTGTCATGCTTCTGGCTCTGGGCCTGTTGAACCCCCGATTTTGGCACTGAATGAATTCCATGTCTTCTAGATTCTTCCATGGTATTCCTAGTCAATTGGAGGACTGAGGAGAAGCTTCGTCACCTGTTTCTGTCTTGTTTAATTCTAGACCCTTCCTCCCTCCAAAGTGGACCGAACAAACCAGATTCAGCCTCCTGTAGCCTACCTATTTCTTCCATCTCTCAGATCCGTCATCTCGCTTAGTGGCTTCCAAATAGCAGCTTCTTCCATGGCTAGATACGGTGAGGGCGACAAGCGCTGGATTGTGGAGGAGAGACTTGATGGCACCAACGTTCACAATTGGCACTGGGCCGAAACTGACTGTCTCCAATGGTCTCGCAACTTCTTCAATGACCTTCTGTCCAACGTCGTCCTTCTTAACGGCGAGGCTGATTTGTTCATCAAGACCAAGAAAGTCGACAGGCTCGATGGAGAGGCCTACGTTAACATTCGCAAGGGTAAAATCATACCCGGCTATGAGATCAGCCTCACCCTGTCTTGGGAAGGAGAAGCTAAAGATTCCGACGGCAAATCCTTGCTTAAGGTCAATGGCACAGTGGAGATCCCTTATATATCCGACGAGAACGCAGATGAAGACCCCGAGCTCAAGGTCTCTGTTAAGGACGAAGGACCCGTTGCGAAGAGGCTGAAGGAGGCAATGCTTTCCAAGGGGAAGCCCTTGATTTTGGAGAGAGTTAAGGTTTGGGTGCAAAGCATGGCGAAAGGAGGACCGGTCCAAGACAACCTCGAGAAAAAGAAAGTAACGCCTCAGAATCATGCTTCGTCCCCTGCCGAAGCTACGGCGAAGAATAAGAATGCGGTGGAGAAGCATGAAGTGACGAAAGAAAGTAAGAAGGGGTGTAAAACAATTAACTTAACGGAGAAATTAAATTGCAGGGCAAGCGATTTGTATGAGATATTGATGGATGAGAATAGGTGGAAAGGTTTCACGCAGAGCAATGCTATGATAAGTAAAGAAGTTGGGGGGGAGTTTAGCATTTTTGATGGGTCTGTGAAAGGAACTAATGTGGAGTTGCAGGAAGCTAAATTGATTGTGCAAAAATGGAGGTTTGAGAGTTGGCCGGATGGTGTGCAGTCTCTGGTAAGTTTTAATATCTTCAGCAGTTCGGGACTTCAAATGTGGGGTTATTAGGCGTCATATGATTAAGTGTCGATAATGTTGCAGGTAAGACTTGTGTTTGAGGAGCCTGAACCAGGAGTGACAGTTATCAAGCTGACACATACTGATGTTCCCATCGAAGATAGGTGAGCAATTGAAAACTTTGGTATTTGTTTGTAGATTTTTCTATGGAATTTTTTTTGGATTTCAACCGATTGCTTGGAAATGCAGATATGGCAACGCAACCGTGGTGGAGAACACAGAGAGGGGATGGCGGGATCTCATTTTCCAAAGGATAAAGACTGTCTTTGGCTTTGGAATGTAGCATTTTCGTTTTCCGGTTGTATTTCCATGTTCTTATCTTTCTTTTACAGAAAAAAAAATTAAGGATTCTAATCCATTCAATAAAAGATGAATGGATTGGCATCGGAATTGCGAACTACCACAATCCTGGTTAATGCTGCCAGAGCCTATGAAAATTGTTTTCTGCTTCCATGCACATTGTTTCTGATTTAGTTAACTTGGGTAAGTTTGGTTCGATTTAAACGAGATTCTGTAGAAGTTTCAACTGTCGTCAATGACTCTATCATATGTGTCCAGCTAAAGAGTGTTCTCTTTTTATTTAAAAAAAAAACGATGATACCATCAGAAAAACGTAGCTCTGACGTAAGGTTTAGCTTGTCCTCAGAAAATTAGATTGACAAGCTTCTGTGATTGTGGGTATTAAAGCTCCCTATCTGTCAATCTGATGCTGTGAGATTCTAACTGAAGGTAAACACGCATTAAAATATTTGCAGAGGAGAAAAATTGGCTGACGTTTTTGCAAGTGACATTCCACAAATCCCAAATTTGTGAATGATGTTTGATGATCATTTCAAGGACTGGTTTAAGGATCTCTCTAATACTAATGGTGCCAAGGGTTTGACAAATGAGGCAAACAAGATGATTGAGAGGAGATGGGTGCCTTGACAATTGACAGTGTCTTTTTCCTGCAAGATAACTTGTCAATCTTTCCCCAGAAGAACTGAGGTGGGGAGTATATATCCTTTAGAAGTCTAACATAGTGAAAATGTTTATTATTGAGAGGTCTCCAGCAACGTTGAAAATTGGAATCCTCCAGCATCTTTAGATTCAATAATCAATAACGCACATGATCTCTCAAACAGTCCAATGAATTTTCCGTCCCTTTTTTATTTGCAACGAAATTTTCGACTTGTACCTTGACTGAGCATCGATGTTGTTGTTTTTTGTTTTGTTTTTTAATCTGATTTTTTCACTTCCCAGCAATTTTAATCCGAGTTATTTTTCGGCCTCCAAGCTCCAACGCTCCTGGGCTAGCATCTTTTTTAACACTGCTTTTTTCTGTGTGATTTGGGTCCTTGGGGGGCTCGCATCTTTTTAACTTTATCTCTCCTCGTGTGATTGGAGATATGTTAGAGGAGTGATGAAATGACGACGGATTCTCGGAAACTGGTATAAACTGTAAAGACGTTGATGAAAATAAAATAGGAAATTGTGAAAAAATCAAACGTCGCCTGAGAGATTCGAACTCTCGCGGGGAAACCCCATGTACTTAGCAGGCACACGCCTTAACCACTCGGCCAAAGCGACTTGGTTGTTGCGGCCCCCGGCATTATTAAAAATATTACATCATGCCGCTACCTGTTGACTTTTCAAAAGCCGCACGACGACGGATTTTATCCTGCATTATGTGACTTACGAAGTCAAACAGAAACAGAATTACGATATAAACTCTGTTTTTTCTTTTCCATGTTCAATTATCTCGAGGTATTGCAAGGTTCGTCCTTGATATACACAGCTTCATAACACTGGCATATAGAAAAGCAGTCAAAGGCATTACAGGAATGCTGTTTTCTTTTGGGAATAGAAGACAACGAATGCTATATAATCTTATACGAACTTTTGGATCATTTCTCTCACTTCTTCAATCACCATCCAGGCCTTGTGTCCACCAATAACTTCTGCTTTCATCTCTCCGTCTTTCCACAGCTGCATCACATTCACCCATTACTAATTCCACATTTCCAGCTCTCCCTAAACTACTCACTCTACCATCCTTTTGTGTGTTGTGTGTGTGTGTGTGTGTGTGAGTGTGAGAGAGAGAGTGAGAGAGAGTGAGAGAGAGTGAGAGAGAGAGATCAATATGGTAAATGACGCACCTGAATTGTTGGCATTTTCTGGCAGGAAGAAAGAAACCAATCAAACCTTTCTTAGCAGAGCCATAAACACAATCATTCAGAACGAAAACAAATAAAGCAAAAGACTAGGTGACTTACAGAGATGTTACTACGCTTTACTAGGGATTGAGGTACTTTGTTAACATCCACACAATAAAATTTGAGCCTACCAGCCATCAAAACGACAAATTTAGCTCCATAGATTTATGTATAGACTGATATTGTAGGAATTGTACTTCATAGAGACTAAGTTTTAAAACAAGGCTCACTTATTGTGATACTCAGCAGCCAGCTTTTCCAACTTGGGCTTCAAGTATATGCATTTCCTGCACCAAGCAGCCATCCTATCCCAGAAAACAAAGTAACAATAATGGTTCAAGTTAGTTACTAAGCCACCGAACCCCAAGAGCTAAACGACATCAAGAACTTTGCAAACGACACCCACGCCAAAATATCTGTAAGCGGTAGCTGAGAGAGACACCGCCTACAAAGTATCATGGTACAGAATGACAATAATTGAGAAAAAGTAAATACCAATCGATGAGAATGGGCTGGGAATTTTGTTGAGCATTTAGAAGAATTTGATCGAGATGATCAGTATCTGTGATGGGTTCCAACTCAAGTACAGTGGGTCTTGACAAATCTGGCCAGAGCGCTTCTACTCGTACATTCCTCCTTCCTTTCCTCTTCCCTTCTCCTTCTCTCTTTCTGCGTTCAATCCAACTAGTCCCAGTCGTACTCTTCAACGAAAACAAAGTAGTTCCTCCGCTACTGATCATCCACTGATGCTGGTAATTCTCTCTGCAGATTATATGTGAACAAACCGCTATCGCAGACATAGCCTTGTCGCTCTGAGTTTCTCAGTTTAAATCGGCAGAAAATGGTTGAAACCAGTGGAATTTAGACTAGCGGGCTTATGACAAATAAGAAGTGTTGAACAAGAATCATTTTCGTGGAATTGGATGCTGTAAAACGGGAAACTGATGGTGTTGAATTTCCGTTCAGAACATAAATATGTTAAACTAATGATTGGAAAAGTAACGATGGCGAAAGAGAAGGGTTATACCGTTATGGTTATTGGGGAAACCGGCAAAACAGGGCGACTGCTGGGAAAGGTTATCCGGGCAAAATGTGTCTGCATACTCTAGTTGAAGGGAAAGCAAACCTCTGAGGAGGGAAAGGAATCAGGGTCCACACAACACAACTCGGATAAAGCCCCCCAATAGCTCTACCAAAATATCCTTACTCGGGCCCAAGGAAAAGATATTTTTTTGCTGTACTTGACTAATAGACCAGGCGAACAGGCTTCTTGCCTTTAACGATGGAAGTTTAGATTATTTTGTGATTTTATTACAGTTATATGGTTTGGATTTGCAAGTTCTTATTTAGGACGACGTGACGTTGACAATCTCCTTGATTCCACGGGATAATTTAACAATATAGGATTCCGTTGTAGACCAACCATATAACAATACTCCTCCGATCCTAATTATAAGACCCAATTGACTTATTTGAGGAGATTAAGGAAGTAAGTTAAGTTGGTTATTTATAATAATAGTGTTGTCATTCCTAAAATATCCTTGCTAATTAAGTATATTGGCTAAAACTATCATTATTAGAAGGATTATCTTGGAAAAAATGTATAATATAAGACATAAAATGGATTGGGATCATAATTAGACCAAATAAAAATTCAAATTGGGTCTTATAATAAGAACCGAGGAGTATATCTACTCCTCTTTCACCAAAACCAAAAAGAAAAAAAACAAAAACAAAATATCCACTCCTGCCATTGCCAATAACCAGGTGTCATCGCGGCATTGAGATCTGCCTTGAAGCGAGGAGGTCGTGGCTTGGTCTAGCCTGGTCTGAGGTGGTGAAAAAATGATACTCATTTTTTTGTTTGTTTAAAAAAATGATACTCATTTATTTCCCTGTTTCATGGATGAACTAGTGGGCCAATATTGTATGAAGGAAATGGGCCAACAAAAAAGAGGCCCGATACTAATTTTAACACTATACGGGCCATTTAATGAGAGTCTCAAAAGTGCGCTGGCTCTGCTTCTGCATTACGGTTCTTGCATTTAAAAAAAAAAAAAAAGAGAAAAAGGAGTGAACGAAAAGCCGCTCTCTCAATTGACCGGCGATATATTCTTCTTTCACACACCAAAAAAAAAAAAAATGTATTACCTCCGCTCTTTAATATAATATCTTATTTAATTTTTATTTTGATCATAAATATAAGATTCCAATCCATTTTATCTCTCATATTTATGCATTTTTTTTCAAAGAAGTTCTTCTAATAATAATAGTTCTAACCAATATACTTGATTAGCAAAGATATTTTAGGAAAGACAACATATATTCATCATAAATAACTAACTTAACTTATTTTCTTAATTTTTTCAAATTATTCAACTAGCTCTTATAATTAGAACCAGAGGTAGTATTTCTTAAAAAATATATATAGAGGCAATGCATGAGAGAAATAGCAGCAAGAAAGAAAATCAACAGGAAAAATCAGCCTAAACGCATATTCTTATGAAAGTCTTTCACACGTATAGTGTGCGCCAACAATAAGAGGATGTTAGACTGGTTTGAAATAACTTATAAACAGTTTTTTAATTATAATTTACAGAATATAAGATAAATTAGAGATTTATTTCTCGTACGATGCACAGATTAAAATATTTGATTAAATTTTAAATGATAATAAATTGTATTATCTAAGACAGCTCAAAAGTATATTCACTTTTTATAGAAGTGTAATTTTTTTTATTCATTCAAATGAGATTTGAATTAAAGATTCCAAAATTAAGAAGACCATATAAAAATTTAAATTTATTTATTTATTTATTTTTATATTTAAGTCCCCAGTTGACGTACTATTTTAATTATGATGTTTCCCATTTAATTCAATATATTTAAATCCCAATTAAAATATCATTCAAATTCAAAATTAATTATTAATTCCTTCATTTGACTCTCAAATTGAAATCCCATTTAATAGTGACACTTCTCATTTAATTCAATATATATAAATCTCAACCAAAATATTATTCAAATCTCATCAATTAAATATATTCGGATGTCTTAATGTTATACCCGACCTGTTTTTAAAATAAACCTGGTATTACAAGTTTTTAAGAATATAATTGATGATTGAGTGATTGATAAGCAATGAAAGTTTTGCCTTGACTTATAAATGGTTGTAATTATGATTCCAAACATTTTCGTGGACCAGTCGATAAGCTTGTATAGTGTCATGGCAGAACAGATTGCGGTTTCCTGCATCCCGCGGCTTCCAACGTAAAACGTCAAAAGTAATGCACCAGGAAGAATTGCTCTTGCTGGGACGGATATATTCTATTTAAGTTCGTCACGAATCTGAATTTAGCAGAATTTTGAAGAAGTTTTCATATTTTATTTATTCGTCACGTTGGAGTGAAAGACAAACTTTTTATGTTTGTTTGATAGATCATGAGATCTAAAGAAAGTAAGACTACCGGAATTCAAAATACATGTGAAGGATCCAATTTTGCCAATACAATAGCCACAAAACCCGGGCTATAATTATAATTATAAACGACTTAATCATTATGTAGTGATAAAAGCCATGCATGTTATTTTGCAACTAATTCGGCAACAATGCACTTGTATAATTGATCAGTGGTCCTGCCTTGCCTGTATTATCCAATTGCTACAATAGCATTATCGTAAATTAATTAGCTCTTTAATAGACTACTCATATTCCGCGGGGACAAAATGTGGCGAAGGGCTGGTCTTAGAGAAACACGCTTTGTTCAGTACAAAATTATATCACATTCAATTCTTAATATAAAAAATTAATTCAGGTTGAATTTAGCTGTAAATATATGATATGTTAATCTGCCTTCTTTCTAATATTTATTTTTTAAAATTAATTTACAATTTACGTGACTTATAAATTGATGCATATATGTAATATTTGTTATAATTAATAAAGTCATTTGACTTCTCCAATCTACCCAACTTAGAGGGTGTTAGAAATACTTTTCCGCAAAACGAAACAAACTCCTTCACGTATTTATTTCGTATATAGTAGAAGTACTTTTAAAATCATGGTTTCGATTCCATCCAAACACCCCTTAATTAAATAGCTTTTGGATTAAGAAATGGAGGCAGCAATATTAATATATATACATCACATGCCAAAATTAGTTGAAGATTCCCACTGCAACTCGCATTTGATGAACTAAAAATATGGGGAGAAGACAAAAAGGAAAGAAAGAAACCTGTGACTTATGGTGCACTTTTTGGGATGCAGTAGCAGAGGCATGGACAACATATATCGTAGAAGTAATTATATTGAAAACTTAGGGATGAAGGAGGATTCAGAAGGACTGATGAGGAAGATAATAATTGGGGTGATGATTTGATTAGATTAATTATATATGGGGAGCCAGAAAGGGATATCAGGCAGAGACAGGGTGGCAGTAGAGACGAGGATGGTGAGTGCATTGAATTGACTGCTTTTCATTGTTAAAGTCCAAAACTGGTCGGTTTATTATTTAAAACCTTTTTAATTTGTTAGTGACTGTGGCAGACACTGATCACATGGGGGCGATGGATTATTAATTCAAATTGTACGGATAAAAACAAGTTCATTTGGAATCATGATGCTTCTTCTGCCTCTGAAACATGCAATTGCCGTTGTTGTGGTAAAGTTCATAGAATAGCAGGAAAGAAGGCTCGGATCATATCTCTTCTTTGTAGGATAAAGGAGAAGGCTATTTTTACACGACAACATGAGACGCGAAATTAATAATAAAAACAGATCTGGTGGAGACCTACTTCAGCAATAGGTGTCCTAGAGCATAACGCAGTAAATCTATATGGCACCGAAGAATAGCTTATTATTGGAAAGAAATCAAACAGTAGTACATTGAAACTAAGCTAGGTAAACATACAAAAATAATTTAAACTGGTTAACTTTAGAACTGTTCCGACACCGCATAGATCTAGGAATTGTGTGAAAAATCCAAATCTGGGTCGATCATCAAGTCAAACAATTTGACCAAGTTGACAGAATACATCCAACGCATTTATTGTTGATCGATTCAAGTTCAAGCCCGTTATTCAATGTAATGTGAACAACCAGGTATTTATTGGGTTGACGTCGACGCCAGGCCTATGGAGATGTTCGTCGTCAAAATTAAATACAATAAACGTCCGTTTCAACTCCTGTCCCATCTTAAGCGATAATGGACATAATCCAAGTGTGTTTATCGATACCAATAAGAACTAAAATCCAAGCGAATGCAGCGGACGGGACAAAAGCAAGATCCCGGACTTGATTGCTGTAATTGATTTTAATTAACTGATTATCGGTTTCAAAATCAGTAAGCAAATCTAGACATTTGGGGAAGAAGGAGGTGGGGTGGGGATAACTTGAACTGAAATCAAATTGAGGTAACGATCGATACATCTAGGTTTCTAAGTCAAGAATTGCCAGTTTGCCCCCACTCCCTTGCCCACCATTCATTCGGTATCCTTCTTTGTATCCAGGTCTTGCTTCCCTTGCCCTAGCTTTCTAAAATTGCCCAGGTATTCAATGTTTGCTAGCTTGCACATCAAGCAATTTCTTATAGTACTGTTAAGCATCGTAGCAGGGACTTCTCCTTACAATTTTTTTTCTCCATACACACTATTTTAAGAATTGAACCTGAAACATTATGCTTAAGGTGCTCAAACTTATTTTACTTAAATCAATACTTATTGGTTGTTACGTCAGTATCTTATATTCTTATGGTTGAATAAGGCTAAGAGCACTCCTTGGAGGTGCTCCTTCACATGCCTGCTTATCCTCCTCTTCTTGGTCGTACGTCCCACTCAACACTGGCATTAATTGTGCTTTGCTCCTTGGAAACAGTCCTCTGGGCAGTGTTCAATTTCTAAATTAAACAGACGCACATAATTTAATAATGAATTATTTTAAAGTTGCTGTAATAAAGAAAATGAGTAGTTGGCATTGCTTTTTCTTCCTACACGTAGTTTAAAATGCTATACTTATCTAAAAGCAACGGCATAGGATTAAAAAAAAAAAATTGACTGACCATGTCGAGTAAATTAAAATATATTCCGTTTAATTGGTCTTGTGCAGACTACGCACTTGTTTAAATCTGATTAAGAACTCGTCATCCAAGGCAGTTGGAAAAAAGCAGGGTCAAAGGCCTTTGTAGGTAGGGTCGGACCCAGACAAAGAGAGGTGGAGAAGAGTCGGACTTACTAATGACTAATGACCACTGTGCCTTTGGTTAGTTTCACTTCCCGTCTGGATTAATTGTAACACGATCGATAGCCTATGTTTCCATTTTTCTTTTGAATTTAGTCTTATTTGATAGCGCACGATATATGTTGCCCTCCTTTTGTTATCTAAATCACCTTGTACTATTTATGATCCTCAGTATAAGAATTAGTTTGATATTCAATTTAGTTTTAAAAACAAAAATTTCATATTTATCTATTTTTTAAATTAATTTTTATAATAGTTATACATATTAAATGTTCTATGAAATAATAATTCTAACCAATACACATAATTAACTATAGTATTTTAGAAAATATAATGCCTATTTATTATAAAAACTAAATTAACAAATTTTATTAATATATTTAAATTAGTCAACAAACTTTTCTATTAAGTAGGCAGAAGTGGCATTGGTTTATTTGGGGGGACAATGCCCTCCCACGGGCCTGGGATGGAATATCGTTAGAGGGGAAGTGAAATAATATGTAGTGCACGTGGCTAATTAACCAGTGGTATTTAATAAATTCTCACTATAGAATACGGGTAAATATACCTTGTTTCAACAAAACAATACGAGATCTGTATTATTATATCGAATGACGCATCCAATGTAACTTATAAGAGTGTTTATTATTTTATTGCTATAGGTATGCGTTTGGCATAAGATGATGATATGTAAGTGCACGCGGGTGAGGTTATGTATAGTGTAGGCGATTAGTCATTTAACAAAACACAGAAGGACCAGAACAGTAATATGTGGTGTTGATGATGATGTGGGTAGCAGTGGGCGGAGCACATGAGGTCGGCTGTGGATGAATGACAAGCGAGTCATGTTCAATGGTTCTGTGACTTTTTTTCAACATCGCAATATATTGTTCACTATGCCTGCCAGTTGCCATCCCACTTTTGTATGAGGTTTGGTTAGAGTGGTTGGGATAGGATAGCCATATCATACTGCAACTCCTCCATTCCACACTTTAATTTTGCACCTCCTGAAATTTCAAAGCCCCACAATACACTCCGTTGCTGTTCTCCTGCAACTCAGGTCTGTTTGGGAGGATTTAAGAAATCCCTTATAAACACATTTTATATAAGTTAAGACAAGACTCTTCTTACATACTTACCTCATATTCCGTGAAATACTATTAAAAAAATTACTTATAAGCTATTTATAAATTGTTTCAACCATATCCTTAGACGGTGCCGTTGTATATCTCAACGTTTCCCTCTTCCTCCGTGCTTAATTTCGCGGGTCATAAAACGACACTTTCCTTCCGATGCTTTCACTTGCGTTCCACAAACTTGCCCGCACGGTATAATTGAATAATAATAATAATAATATTTTATATTTAAAATTAAATTGGAAGCCCGCCCCAAGTGAAAAGGGCGAGAGAAGCGATCACCGACACACTAACAACCTATTCAAAAGTTGACGCGTATTGACAGTCAGTCCGGTTCAGTCCATCCACGCACTCCCAGAGCTGTACGGTCCCTTTACTTCCCCTTTGTTCTCTTCTTTTTTCAAATACTATAGAATATGATCAGCTGCATGCTCCTCCACCACCATTCCCATGCTCTCTCCTTTCATTTCAATGATACCGTGAGCTGGCTCGCCCCGTTCCTCCTCTCAGGCTCAGGCTCCTCCCTTCCTGTGTTCTTCTTATCACTGTTTTAACAGCCTCTTTTTGTTTAACAAACAATTCCAAGAGATTATGATTTCTCATTACCAAATGCCTGATACCTGGGAGTGGTATCTTTTCCGTTGAAAAATCTTGTCAACGTACATTCTGTACTACCCACAAGAAATTATATACATGCATGAGCGCCATATAAGCGCCAAACGAAAAATCTATTTCAGGATTCGGCCCAATTTATGCAATTTATATTTTCCAATTACAAACTACATGGCATTTAATAAATAAACTTATGATACTGAAATGCATGTTCTGCGAGGACAACGAACACGAAGTGAATTTATCTATTCATTCATCGGTTTAGGAGAATCCAGTAGTGGAAAGGTGGCTTCCAAAGGTTGACGTGCACGTAACATAAATTTGAGAGGCATATCAACTCATGCAGGGTAAAAGACGCGAGGGGCGACGTGGAATGGGTGAAATGATACAAAAATACTACTATAATGCAACCACTTTCGAGGAAAACACCAGCAATATAATTAATCATTAGCGGCTAATTATGGAGATTTAAAGGAAAAAAAGGTTTTGCGGATATCTGACGCTGCTTTTATTTATTTTCTCTTATGCCGACATCTATAATCCTTGGGGCTTGCTTTTCGCTCACTCGGTCACTCTGCACTCTCCGCTCAGCTTGGAAAACATAGCTGTTTGGATCTAAGTTAAAACCATGATAATATCATTAGAACTTAAACTAATCTATATTTTTTGCTATACCTATTTGTGATTTGCTATTAATGAATGATTCAGATTCAGATATGATCAGACACTAGAAAAACAAAGATAGAAACTAACTAATATAATGCACGCATCTTCAAATTGGGACATCGAATATAGACATCAGTAATTTCCAAGCTGATTAAAGTTAATTGCCTAATTGAGGTGAGTTCCCCCCACAAGAAGGGATGCTGATATATGCTGTATGTGCTTTCGTATTTTCGCCACTAAATAGCTGTTTTAAAAGAAAATTAAATACTTTATTTTTATTTTCATTTCTTTTGGCCAAAAGGATGCGGGGGTGCCTGGGAGTGTGAGACACCAGTGAAGCGCAACGCGCATTGGGGGACCACACACTTCAAAATGAGGACGATGCGGCTACCGGATCCAGCTTTCTTTATTTTTTAAAATTTATAAAGAGAAAGGGCGCAGATAATTACGGAATTGAAAATTATTATATGTTTTTTTTTCAGTGCTCACATTTTATAGTTTTCAATGAAAATAATTTTGAGTAGATTGTTTATATTTTACGTTTTATTTTCTCAAGAAGACATACACCAAAAGCTTTTAACTAAATGTATTTCTCTTCACATATGGTCATTCTATTAATTTACTGGATTACTTGGATTACCACTTCGATTACCGCCGCATCAGTGGATTTGATCATTCAAAATTAAAAAGAGATCCGACGAATCTTTACTATTTCTGTCGAATAGAACGGAAGCCGCTGATGGTGAGGGCATAGGCGCGTACGGAAGTGCGGGTACGGTTGCATTCGAGGAATTGGGATTCACACCAACACTCTTGGGCCGGGCTAAGAAAACAGGAAATGCTGTTATTTTAATTTTACAGCATTAATTTTGTGGATCGGGTTCATTGCATAATAAATTGTAAAAGTAACAGTTTTATTCACAGCAAAACATGTTTGATTATTTAATTTGAAGAAGAAAATAAACGCTGTTAATATCTGGACTCCAGCACAAAGGAAGAAGCGGGTAGATTGGCTGATGCGTACCACAGTCCCCGCGAGCAGTGGCATTTTCTCGGCTATATGATTAAACATGAACAAATGACGCCGATCTGTGCGATCCTTTTATAAATTCGTTATTGTTACTCTCTAATTTCTTGTTCTTATTCTGCTCGCGACAAACGTATCCTCCTGGTCCTACCGCTGCTCATACCAGCCAGATCCTTGTGTTATCTCTCCTCCCTCCTCTCTCGCACATTCATACTTCCAGACATGATGGCCCCTTCTCTCCTTTGCTCGGTTTTGATTTGAGTCACTCAGATACTCTTCCCCTTTACTGTTTTCTTCAGCCCCAATAACCGAAAAACCTCATCCTCCATGGCTGATTCCGCTAAGTATCTTCCTGTTGGTGGGGCAATCCCGCCGTCCGATTTCAAGACCTTCTTCTCTTTTCTCAAAACCAGAACTACTGTGGCTCTTGGCTATGGCTTCATGCTTGCTTTTGTTGCTTTCACCGTTTTCCTTGCTCTCTCTCCTTCCCCGAATGCTTCCTCTCCCTGGTTCACCAACATATTCACCTCTACCTCCACCTCTTCCTCTCCTACTTCCTCTAATTCTCACTTCTCTCCCCTTTTCTCTTTCTTTTCCCCCAGCACCACTTCATTCCCTCTCCCTCCCTCCCCTTCTATCCCGCAAACTAACCTTACTTCTAGATCTGCTAATTCCACTTCTCAGTTGCCCAGCACTATGGAAGATTCATCCGAACCAGTCTCTCTCGTCAACCAGACTCTAAGCTCAGGGAATTCGTCCAAGGATCCGCTTCCGAGCTTCAATCACACTGTAATTTCTAGCTCAACTGCTCCCAAGTTAAGTAATCTGACAGCAGATTCGCCGGTGAAGCCACCCGTTGTTCAGAGTCATGAGCAGACTTCAGGAGAGTCTGGTGTAGCTGCGTCTTTGAAGGCTAATCGAACTACAATTGCTGCACCTCCACCTGAAATCTTAGTCGCTCTTCCTCCTCGAAAAGCCCCTGCAGACACCCCACCTCAAAATATTAGCTCTGCATTGAAATCTAACTCGCCAGTCAATACTAGTCCCGGGAAATCGAGTGATTATAGGTCTTCCCTGGCAAAGAAACCGAGCAATGGGACTAGTACGAGACAGAAAGATGACTTGATGGAATCTCTGATGAATTGTGATTTCTTTGATGGAGAATGGGTGAAGGATGATTCCTATCCACTTTACGGTTTTTGCGATCTGGTCGATGAACAGTTCAAATGTATTCGGAATGGCAGGCCTGATAAAGATTATCAGAAATACAAGTGGAAACCTAAGGGCTGCACCCTCCCCAGGTATGTTAATCTTGATAAATTTAAAGCCTGGTCGATTATTTCGAATGAAACGGTCGATTTGGGTTTTATCTGAATTCTGTTATTCTATGATTAGCCGGAGGTGTGTAGGCATTACGCTTTTTCTATTTGATAAATGTTTGCGTCAGTAAAACTCGATAAGACTTGCCCATTGCTCCATTTGATCTTGGTCATTCAGTTTGTTGATTGGCACTAGGGTCAGTTTGTAAAATTGTTCTTGCATTTTCTTTATTCGGGATCCCAATTTGATGAAGAGAGGAAATATTTGCATATTTAGGTTGGATGGGCATCGAATGCTAGACTTGTTGAGAGGCAAGCGACTGGTTTTCGTGGGCGATTCTCTCAATAGGAATATGTGGGAATCTCTTGTATGCATACTGAGAAATTCTGCAAAAGATAAAAGAAAAGTTTACGAAGCAAATGGCAGGGTTCACTTCCGAGGCGAGGCCTTCTATTCTTTCATATTCGAAGTGAGTATTAATTTCTTTTGCTTGTTTCCGTAATTTGATTTTCATTTCTCTTTCTGGGTTAGAGCAGATGCTTTTCCATGTGTCATTCCATGAATGTCTCACTGATGCTATTTGGTTGTGGATTATGGAGTAGGATTACAAATTCTCCATAGAGTTCTTCGTATCGCCATTCTTAGTTCGGGAATGGGAGGTAACAGACAAGAAAGGAACAAAGAAGGAAACTCTTCGTCTCGATTTAGTTACGAGGGCTTCTGATCAATACAAAGATGCAGATATTATCATCTTTAACACTGGCCACTGGTGGACCCATGAAAAAACTTCCAGAGGGTAATTAAATGCCGTGCTGTTTTCTCTTCACTGCATGCTGCTGCTATTTAGTCTCATCTCCTTACCAGTTTCCTGCTTCTTCCCCAATTCAGCTGAGACAATTTTTCAGTCCAAAACTCGCTGACATAAAACAAATTTCCCGTGAAAATTACAGGAAAGATTATTACCAAGAAGGTAGTCACGTGTATGAAGAACTAGATGTGCTGGAGGCGTTTCGAAGAGCTATAACAACTTGGAGCAGATGGGTTGATGCCAACATAAATCCATCCAAGTCTTTGGTCTTCTTCAGAGGCTACTCTGCCTCTCATTTCAGGTAAACTCATATTGAATCACTGATGGATTTTGTTATAAATTCAGGACCATTGAGAAAGCATCTCTTCAGCACTGATTTTTGACAAAACCTTGGAATTCTGATGTCGTTGCAGTGGTGGACAATGGAATTCAGGTGGGCAATGTGACAATGAAACAGAGCCGATTAAGAACGAAAAGTACTTGAGAGAATATCCGCCTAAAATGATGGTGTTGGAAAAGGTTTTGAAGCATATGAAAACCCATGTGACGTACCTAAATATTACGAGAATGACAGATTTCAGGAAGGACGGGCATCCCTCAATGTATAGGAAGCAAAAGCTATCGCCAGCAGAAAGGAGATCGCCACATATGTTCCAAGACTGCAGTCATTGGTGCCTGCCAGGTGTTCCTGATACATGGAATGAGATTCTTTATGCGGAGCTTCTTTTGAGACAACATCGAAATCAGCATCAGCAGCAAAACCGACAATAGGTGAACTTTTAATTTCAATTCTTCAAGCTTAAGGCAAGGCCAAATAAGAAATTAGAAAAGAAAAAGGGGAAAAAAAAAAGAAGAAAAAAATAGCAATACCCTATTTTTGGACCATCCTTATACATGGTGATAAGAAACGATCTTTACTTAATTTCTTTTTTCCTTTTAAAGTGTATAGAAATTTGGAAAGTTCAAGTGGATATGCCAGCGGAAACAAAATGAGAGAGAATTGCACCGTTAAAATTTGTAATATTATTTTTTTTTTCCATAGAAGTTCCTACCGTTTAAAGGGAAGAGTTAGACGGGCAATTTTGTCTGTTGTTGTAAATCCCTTGGGTTCCCAGTTTTTCTCCTCTCCTGAAAGATTAAGTCGTGCTGTAAATCTCTAATCAATTGATGTTGAAACAGATTCTTGACATTATTTGATTGTGCACCCATTTATTTTATTCTTCTCGATATTTTAAGATGGCCCTGGCCATTTATTTAGGACGGTTAAAAGCCGAAACATCACTTACGGTGATGAGATGTAGTTACAGCTCTCTCTCTCTCTCTGTGATAATTAATTAATTATCTGTGCATAACTATATATTAGTACTCCTCCGGTCCTTATTATAAGACCCAATTTGACTTTTTATTTGGTCCTAATTATAAGACCCAATCCATTTCTCTCTTATATTTATGCATTTTTTTCCAAGATAATCCTTCTAATAATGATAGTTTTAGCCAATATACTTAATTAGCAAGGATATTTTAGGAATGACAACACTTATTTATTATAAATAACCAACTTAACTTACTTCCTTAATCTCCTCAAATAAGTCAATTGGGTCTTATAATTAGGACCGGAGGAGTATATATTTTTTTAGATTAACAGGGTACGTATCCTTATAACGAATACATGTAGACTTGGATGAAATGTGTATTTAGTCCTGTGGACTGGACTAGGCGCTCTTCATGTCACCTTTGATTTGCTGAACACCATGACACTCCTCAAGTGCTTCCGACTGGACACGTCCACCCGTGAGCGCTACTGCTACAGCATATTTTTAAAGATTTCATTGTTTATAATAAATGAAGGTTTGATTTATTATAAATTTTAATATATGTATGTATGTAGTAATGTTGATATAGATATTTGAGATTTATTCTTATAGAGAATGGATAAATGCCCTTTTCAATCTTCATTTACGAGCAGTTCAACTAGTCTTATCAGTTGCTGTTGTAGATATCAGCCATGTTGAATGTGGACATAGTGTGACTAGCATCATGCTAACGACCACATTCAAGGCGGGTGATCCTCCTTTGTTCCCCAAACTTCAAATGTGCCTGTAAATGATCCTTTGTTTCTTCTCTAGCTTTTGGATTTTTTTTTTTGGGGGGGGGGGGCGCTGAAATGAGAACACCCATTTCTACATACGTGGAAATGGGGTTTTCTCTTGATACAAAGAAATGGGTTGTTTTTCCCTTAACGTGGAAACAAGAATGTGAAGGTTAAAATCCTTGAAAAGGTTTGTCTCTGAACAGAAAAGGAAAACAAATTATAGGCCATTATTTTAAAAGTTAATGTAAAACTGTTTTGATTTTGGTTTCTGAAATCTAAAACTAATGTTTTTAGTTCTAATATTTTAAAACTGTATTTAACTTGCAGGACTAACGATTAGAAGTAGAGTAAATTTCGAAGAGCAAAATTAAAATAAGGCTAAATGTTAGCAGCTGCAGATTATTTTGACGTTTATTTTTTAAGGTTTTACTTTCTGTGTACCATTCCTCATACCACCGCCGCCCATGCGGACCTCTCACCTCTCGCGAAGAAGCCCTTTCGGTGATGCCCTCTCAATTCCTCCAATCAAGTAACATCGTCTAGATGTAATATATGGTATGTTACTGTATATAGAGGCTTAGGGGCTCCCTTTGGCCAGATGCAATGATATTAAAAATTTTCACCTGGATCTGAATTCCTCAATTGCTCAAACCAGGGGAGAAATATAATAAAAGATCGTGTGGGACTTATTCTCACGAGCTAACCTGTCTTTTATTTATGTCTCTTGGCACCCAAACATAAATCGAGTTTTTGAAATGTGGTTTTGATCTTGATTCACACTTACCGTTTTATATTCATAGTCGGCAAAAGAAATTGCTCGCTTGTTCTTGAAACAGCATTATCCTTCAACACGTGTTTGCATATGCCAAGCATTTTAAAAATTTCATTGGCATGTGAGTGACGTGACTTTATTTATTGGATACCCTATTTTCATGTAGATATAGATTCCCCATCTGCAAAAGGCACCCTACGAACTATGATGCGAGTCATAAAGTGTGATATACAGAAGATCGCTGGCGTTCAAATAATTATGGTGCCACCCGTCCGTTGCATTTACGCCCCCCAACCCTTTTAAATGTCAACCTAACAAAAGCCTGTAGAAAGACCTGCTTTCCCTATTAGCTTTTTCGTTTTTCTTCAGAACTTTACCCATCCCAGTTCATTATTGCAATCATCATCTTCCTTTCCCATTTCCCTCAACCCAAGCCTTTAAATCATCCCTTTCAACTTCGCTACTCCTATCCCAATTCCATTTAATCGCCAACCAAAATAAAGACAGGAGACTTGCTCACGTAAAGCCTTTAACATAAAAAATATGTTGGTGTCTTTTCTCGGTGATGAAGGAAAAAATATCGTTCCGTACATACATCCCTGGTGAGTCCATCGCCAAAGAGCTAGCGCAAACAAAAAAGAAGAGACGAAGATAACAAAAACTATGTACAGCGCAAAACAGGCGAGCGCTTGTCCTTGCTCCTTCTATGTTCCGAATCTATGACATATTATAACCGAAGCAAACATCAAAAGTGGATCCATTAGAATTGGATCACGAAGCCTTATGATGGGCCTGGGCCTCGTGAGCTTGGGCTTGACCGTTGGAGAGTGAAACGCCCAGAGACAAAGCTACTGGGATTCGAGAAGCACCGCTGGTACAAGTGGCGGTCGCCGTCGCGGTGGATGTGGTCCCGGCGGCCGAAGATTTGGTGACGACCTTTTCACACGAGGGGCACATGGTGAGAGTGGTGGCCGGAAGTTGCATGTAATACGGCTGCGATGTCTTTAAAGCCCTTAATTCCTGCACCTCCTTCTGTAGCCTCCTGTTCTCCTCCGTCAGCGTCTCGCAACATCTCTTCAGATACTCACAATCTACTTCCGTCTGCTTCAATTTCGTCCTTCATTACATACATTAATGGATAATGGACCAGCAAAACAAGTCAGCCTATTGATCTTTTTTTTTTTTTTTAATACAAGGATGAAGGGAAAGTCAATCAGTTTCTATATATTTACCTAGCCCGTCTGTTTTGGAACCAAACTTCCACTTGACGAGGGCGAAGGTTTAACTGCTTCGCCAGAGCAAGTTTCTGCTTCTGCAGATGAGGTTGAACAAATTTGCTTTTATAACAGGTCAACGATGAAAAACACGAAGAGAAAGAAAGCCATAGAGCCGGAAACTCAAACTTACGGGATTGAGAGTGGTGTGTTCTTTGAAGCTCTCTTCCAGGAAAGCAGACTGTTCCTTAGACAGTCGGAGTTTCTTGCGAGATGAACCGTTTTCGTCATCGTCGCTGGTTCTGTCGGCGTTGACCTCGAGCTCTCTCTTGTAGCCGCCGGTGCCATGACTATTTCTGAAGCGGAAGTCCAGGTGGAATGATGAGATCTCACTGTTCGGAGATGAGAGTGCAGTAGCGTCGTCGGCCTCATCTACGTCTGCCGGCGCGCTGTTCACATCCAAACTCCTCGCAGTCACCACTCTATCTGACGAAATCTCTTCACCACCCACTGTCGTTACAGAAAACATTACGAGACTCAGACAAAAGGAATGACCATATATCACATGAACCCAAAAAGAGAACAACAACAACGTTGCCAGCGAAACAAGCAGAAGGAGAAGATGAGGGGAGAGAGGGATAGGTTACATGGACGGGAGAGCCAAGGAATTGAAAGGCGCGGAGGTGGAGGAGGGTTTGGAGGGAGAGGGGTCAAGGGAAGAAGATGAAGCTGAACAGGCGGAGCCGACGAACTCCTAGCGTCTTCATTGCCTTCTCTGTGATGATTCCATCGGTTGGCGGCGAGGGGCATGTTGGTGAGCTTGTCAAGAAAAGAGAAGGGCTTCGGTGCGTCTCCTAAGCTCAAGGCCAACTCCATATCAATCTGTTTCAAAGAGGGGAAACTCTAGTACTGGTAAATAAGAGGGAGCGGCGAGGGAAGGAATTAGGGGGAGGGTTTAGGCTTCGGGAGGCGAAGGCTACCCCCTAGTAGACGTTCTTTTATCTTTGGAGTGTAACCAAAAACCAAAAACCAAAAAGCGATGGAACTCAACAAGTAGAGAGTGCAGAAACCCCGGCCCTCTCCAACAGCCCCCCTTTTTATTTCTGCTCAGCTCTGCCTCGTTCTGGGAGCCAACACATTGACCCACAATTCCAACTTGACAAGCGCACGTGACTTGTAGTTATTTGAATGCACAGCCCCTTCGCCTCGCGTATCAAAACGGCAGAACCATATTTTCATGTTTCACTTTAATGCTGCACTAAATGTATCTTTTTAATGACACTACTGGGTTGGGGAGGAAATCGTATCACACTATTGAGGAGGAAGGGGTCAATGTATGACAGCTGCGTACTAAAAGGATATTTGAATAGAAATCAAATCATAGTTTCAGAAGTGTTTTTACAGTTTACGAAATAGATATGTGAAGGAATTTGTCTCGTTTTACGAAAAAGTGTTTATGAAACCATGTTTAGAGGTTGCCAAACACCCTTTAAGTAATTCTTTTATATCCATTCTTTGTCTAATTCGGTTCTCCCATTTTGTATGCGTATTTCTAAATATTTTGAGGGCGACGTATCCGATATACATCGCCATAAATTTTAAATCATGTCTTCGTTCACACTAGCTGTATAAATGACATTCGTGAAAAGCTATAATGCTAGTTGTGAATTTACGTATCTCTCAAGTTAAGCGCATGAATCCACGTCGTCGTTTTATATATACTAGTCCCGTCTCTTTAGCATATTTACTTTTTCATGCTCTGATCTACTGGTAATTGATTAATTATGATTTTGAAATCGAGACAGTACCAAGTTAATTGTATAAACATTTTTTTCCAGAAGCCTTATCAACGTGGATCCTACGAATACGCAGGGACAGAAATGTTGAATTAGCTAGATAGACAACTGCAGATGATGATGTGCATATATATAAATGCAGGAAAGATAATAATGGAGGGAGAGAGTTTGGGTGGGTGAATAGCAGGGCTCACTGCTTGAGCATGAATTGATAAATGCGTTGGATACTGACAAGAACGACTCAAATTTAAGAGGTTCTACCAAACAAAAGTCCAGAAAGCATAATGATGACAATGGACAATGATATATCAGCAGGGCGCGAGAGAGATATAGAGACCTGTTGTCTTATTGAGCAGCTCGTATATGTGCTGGTTTTAAACCCATAACTATCTACTCTATCCTTGTCATCATCATGCATCACGATACGATAAAAGTCTTCAAATACGACGATTTGTCTTTGGTCCCAAATGCACAACAAACCAATCATATGGGTCTCCCCGACTCTAATTTTCCCTTTGGCTGATATACTCCTACCATGCGCGTGGGCTAATAAACCATGAACCCAAGAGTTTTTGCCGTCTTCGATGGAGTGAGATTGGTTAAGCATGATTAGAGAGGGAGGCCCCTTAATTCAAAATGAAGTCTCTGTGGTAGCTTCCACCTACGACCGCCACTAACTGGCCAGTCGCAGCGGTGCCACCTGCTTTTGCAGATATCAGCCTTGTCATCCACTATAAACAGGAAAACCTACCATCTTTTCTTAGAAGTTAAAAGAATAAACAAGCGTGATGTGAGAATTTAAAAAGAAAAGAGAACAGGAAGAAGAAAAAGTAAAAAAAGAAATGATTGGGAAGGCTGGGTCCGATGATTAGTATGGAATACTGATGGCTGTGGTTTACTTTTGGAGAGATGAAATTAGAAGGTGGGGAGACAAGGCGACCAACTTTATCAGCTTTTGGCATGGGAGGATATATGCATTGATTTTGGTTGGGCAACACAAGCAAGCGCAGTGTAAAAGTAATTAAGAACACAAAAGGAGAAGGTTCTTTTTGAAGCGGCTGAATGATGATATCATAAAATCGAGGGAGCATCCAATGAGAGGAAGCGTGGGCACGTCTCTAAGCAATCAAAATATGATTCCAGTTTATTAATATCCAAAACATTTATTACTTTTAATATCATTTCTCAGAGCGGTTAGTCTCAAAATCACTCTCACCCTACATAAATAAGAATTTTTCTTTTTGGAAATAAAATATTCATTGGTATATTAATTATTTTAACTAATTTTTAATGTGATTTGGATAATAGAAATACTTATCTCTCTTTTTCTTAAACGGGTACACCGGAGAGGAGAGAGGGGTATTTAAGACCCGGGGGGGGGGGGGGAGTAGGTGGTCCCGCAGTGCAGAGGTAGAGGCGTGGGGAGGGATTGGGGAGAAAGGAGGGAGGGAAGTGAGAATGGGTCAGAAATGAGATGGGAGCAATAATTGAAGTGAAGCAGAAGCAGCGCTTTAATGAAATGCTGCACAGACAGAGAAGGATGTGTGCATTATTGGGTGGCCCCCTCACCCAACCATTCCCGTCATCTTTAATTCTTCATCATCTCCCTTCCCCCTTCTTCATTCCCCAAATTGCCCCCTCCCCTCTTTCCATTCTCTCCCCCCGACACAGTTTGACTACTCTTTCTTTCTTCTTTTACACAGGGACATGTGTGCCCCTGCCCCTCGTCAACGGGCTACTTTCCGCACCAGAGGTGATTTTGGAGAATTTCGAAACCACAAAGATAAATTGGAGTTTTTAGCAAACATCCATTTAGAGCCAAAAATGTATACACGATTTCAATCTTTTAATGTACCATGTCATCGTTCATTCCTATGTCAGTATGTACTGGTATTATAAATACTGCTCTCGTAGGAGATAAATTAGTGCGTGATTAGTCAAAGATTAGCCTTGAGTTCATGAACTTACGCAAACTGGAGGTGAGAATCGATGACATCTCAACTAATGACTACTCAAGATGGGATTGACTTTGAAAGTCGTGTTAGTGTGTTTAAAAATTCATATGTCTAACTCTTCAAATAGTGATTGATGCTGTCCGTTAACTAATGAAGAATAATGACTTTGAATATATATCCAGGCTGTGATAAGAGGGAAACGGATTGAAAAAGACTGAAGGGAACAGGATGAGTAGCTGGATGAAGAAGTCACGCTCTCTTTTCCTTCTTTGCTAGACTGGGTGGCGCTTCATAAATTATTATTATTTTTTTTTTGACCAAGAGCGCTTCATAAATTAATTACCTTGATGAGATATGGAGATTTTACATTTTAGCGTTAGCCACAAATTCAATGTACAATTTAACTCTGCTGCTATATTTTATGTTAACAGCCTGATGGAAGCGAAGACTTGGTTCTTCACGTGGGAACGCTTTGTTTGAACTAACGTTACTTGTACGTTTTCGGGATTCCCCGGGGTATTATTGTCCTTTGACTATGTCTCCCTTGCGCGGAAGGGCTTTTCAAGAATACCTAAACAACGGACTCAAGTTTCTCCGGATGAAAGCATGTCCCGCCAATATAAGAATTGGTAATTTATTTTGGTTGTGATATTTATTTTTTTTAAAGTAATCTCTACAATAACTATATATGTTAAGAAGTTATTATCAAATTTATAACTCAGATATATAATTAGTAAGAATATTTTAAAAAATATAATATTTATTTGTTATAAATAAATAATTTGTTTAACTTTTTTAAATAATAAATTAACTAAATGTCATATTACTATATTAGCCAGTGGCCACCGGCGGGGATCTTCTTCCATTTACAAAGATTTTGTTGGAGACATGTACGTAGTATTAAATCTGACGATTCTGCCGAGCTAGGAGAATCACGTGAGGACGGCGTGCGGGGCTAATGATTAGAGGTTCGTCCCAGGCTGAAAGGCCTGACGTGACGGATGGGGGCACGAAACTCAAGTATAGGCTTCAACCATTAAAGCTTCGTATTTTTCGGATACATTTGGGATTTGATTTCATCCCTTAAGAAATTAATAAAATAAACAAATCCCTAGTACTCTCTATGGGGAACTAAAAATAAGTCTCTGTTCCCATTTGCCCTGCCTGCAATTCTGTTTCCGGTCTCACGTCTTCTTGTTTTCCTTTCCCATTTTAACTTGCTCCTTGTAAGACCCTTATCATTTAATATTTATCACTTTGTCTTTTTCTTGAAAAAAAAAAGGGGAGGGGTAAGGTTGAGGAAACCAGTACCAAATCATTTTACGGCGTCACTAATCAAGTTTTAAAGAATGGCCGCATCGCTCTATCATCACGCATGAATAATTATTTATCCCACATTTAGTAATTAATATATTAAAAAATATTATTCATGCATTTCAAAGAAAAAATTAAAATGATAAAATTTTGAAATTTTATTTAACATTAATAAGTGTAAGACATTTAATATTTGCAAGTCCAGTTTTTATATTTACAAATCGAGCTGTGTCATTTACTGATTAAATTAACTCAGGAATGTAGTATTAGCAATGAGAGGTGTTAAAGTGCGCATTGCAGTTCATACGTGACAAAGATCAGGGAATAATAATCGAAGCATGTTTGTTAATTTGAAGTGCAGCCAGCGTGAAAGCACGTGGGTTGGTAATGGGGCTTCGGCTCCATTGCCACTTTCTGGCAATCGGTCTCAGATGATTTCAGCTATATTCTGAGTTCTGGGTTGTGATTTCTGGGTTGTGATTTCCAGGAATAGCTGCTAGCAACGAATCAACCCACACAGGACGTAGCTGAGATACATGTCCCTTCCTTATCTCCAATAATTCTTCTCCTCTGAAATGCTTTAATTATTTGACATTTATTATTCTTATATGTGTGTACGATAGAGTCATGGAGATGCCCAAACAAGACTAGGCACCTTTTAATGCACCCATTAACGATCATTAGTTGTCAGCAGCAGTCAGTGATGGATGAATGTTTCAAAGCTTCACGGGTGGGGCTCTCTGTTCAGGCGCCGCTCCCTCACAAACCCTATTTGTATGTATACATACATACATATGTATATATACCTACGTACGCACACAGTGCGGGGCCCCTGAGTATGAATCAAGACCGCATGCTTCTTCTCACAGCATGATGATTGCTGCATATATGGAGTACTATAAACACATCATGGTGAGCGTAATATATTTTGCACTGATTGATTGATATCCAGCATATATAATTGTTTAATCTGTACGTGTGCTCTGCCACTTGACCATGAAGCCAGCATGCATATACAGGGTATATAAATAAAGCACGTCTATGGCACGCAATCATCCACAAACCATGCTCTTTTTGCCTTCCTTCTCGCACATCATTATCACACATTTCTCTTGCTTTCTCTGTCTTTCTCTTTCTCTCTAATTACTACTTTACAGTATTTGTCATGAATAATTAATAATGATATCCATCACCATCATAATCTTCAATTTCTTCGTCGGGGGTGCTGTGTGATGCC